TTTATTCAATTCTCTTCTTTGTCTTTATCCTCACTGCGGCTAAGATGCAATCTGACGTTCAACTGCAAGTATCAACACGAGGGCCTTACTAAAATAGTGATTTGTTCCTTCTGAACATCAATTAGTTCAAGAAGTCATTCTCACCTGATATTTCGACATCCTATCGTAGGATGTGATTGCGTTCCATGATTTCCAATCTGCTCATAATTCCTGAGTTTTATTGACAGCAGTTACAACATGGTGGCTTTAGTACTGTATTCTTTTTTTAATAAACGGGACGCTTACCGCTATAAAAAGAAGGAAATATAGGGTCACAAAAGCTATGTTTATTGCGCCACCATTCATGGTTATATTGAATACATCGGCCATGGTGCCAAGTTATTAGCCTGAAATGTGAGTTGAAGCCAGATAATCGTCGTGCTACCTCACCCAGGCGAATCGGTACGCGGAACGATGTTTCCAAAAACTTAACAACTTCACAATACAAACTCGTTTTGCCTGGTTACCTTGTGTCTTGTCGCTATTTTAGATCCACCATTTCCTAAAGCTGCTGTTACTTCGAGTCTTTTACTAATATGTCTGTTGGCTGTTGTGATCATTTGGTTTATGCATCGACGCCGACTCCCTTGCCTTACCAAATGCTTTGCACAAACCAACAGGAAGCCCAATGTATCAAAAGCGTACGTGGGTATTAGTTGCCTAGATAAGACTGTGCCTTTTCTAGACGCAAACTAGCCGGTCTGATTGGTGACTTTTAAAATTTTTTTAAGAACAGAACAACCATCAATCTACTCCACTTTATCCATTAAATACAAGAGAAAATAGACATCACGAGCAAGTTGTTTGTCAAGAATGAATCCAAAGATTGCTAAGAATTATTACGTTTAGTTGTTAGTAAGATTAGGACGTTTTTAGTGTGATGTACATTTAGAAAGATTTGAGTTAGAAGACGTAAAATATATGTTAGTTAGCCCTTTGAAAACACTATAGCATCGAATAGTAGTTGAGAGGCATTCCGATTGGATGGGTGTTGAACGCCTGAGAAATTGATTTTGCGTGTGCTTTTTACTAACCACCTTTCACAAAATGTCACCTCTTAGAGATTGGTGGATGTTGGACCAACTCCCCAGGTAAATAGCACTAAAATATCTCAGCTGTTCGAGTCAGGCCGTTTCGCATCTTTTTCTGCAATCAGTATATTTGCCCTTCTATTGCTGATTTCACCTTTCAGAATGCTTTTCATGTACATGTGCATAATTGACTATCAAATTATTTTATTTATTTTAAAGGCCTAGTCATGTCAGACATCCTAAATTTTTTCTTTACTCTTTAATTAATCCTTGTCAAAGAAATAACTCGCTATTTGTGTAGGCCAGGTTGTTATGATGATACTACTTGAGAATGAGATCATGCCGGCAGTCCCCACTTAACTTAAATGCATGGAATCAAATCGGGAACATTTCAGGCCTAAGTAATAGATAGGACTATTCTGAAACCCGATTTAGCTAAATCAGTTTTAGCATTGATTGTATGCCTGCAGAAGCTGCATTCTGGGCGATTCAGCTCATCACCATCTAATGTGCGTTTCATAATTTTCCCGGCCAGTCACTTACTCCACAGTTGTTGCTATTACTGCTTTTTTGTAAGAAGTCAGTACTAATGTGGATGGCCATTGGTTCACACTAGATTATTTCATTCGTTATAAAATCTAACTCACTTTTCCAATTTATTTTTGTTATTTCGGAATGTGTGCTTAATCACTGACTTTGCCGCCTGACTAGCCTATGTTCCGCCATTCGCAAATTTTGCCACGACCGCTTCTTGATTGAGTCTTATCGAATTGGTTTTGAACATCTTCAGTGGCCTTCATTTTATGGTTAATTGTTTCACTTAATCCTATATTCTATATCGCGGACTTCAATTAAAGTGAAACCTTCACAATCGAATATCACCGGCCCGACGTCTTGCAGTACCAATCGCAGGTGTAAGTGGGATTTATGCCTACCATGTTCATGTAATCGCCACAAAATTCTGATGTAGCCAGCGGTTTCTGTGGGTTGTGTATTACCTGGGAGCAGAAATAGTTTGCGTAGCCATGTCACGTTGTTGTCACGAATCGCTGAAGTCTAAGAAGACCATACATGGGCTTAGTGTGTTGTGCGTTGCGTCAATATGAGTAAGCAGTCGTGTAAAACTGATGAAGGTTGTTGACCGATGTAACTTGGGTGGACTAGAGTTAATAATTAGAGTTCCTTATAAGAAGGAAAGGTTTGGAATCGCTATGCAAAGATGGTGAATGTGGACCTGGGAACGCAGCGATAAATATCGACACGACCCATAACACACTCATTTTGATAAAGAAACTGTTTTCGTCGAATGGTAGATCGCCAGAATTTGTGCGAGGTGAATTCAGTTGTTATAAAACATTTGCACAACCAGTCAGGCTTTTATCTGCAAAAATATGAATAAGGTATTTGCAGCATAATGATAAAGGGAATATCGTAGGTATCTGGGAAGCTGGAGGCGCTTCTACCCCATGTCATACTCTAATAAATCAAGTGAATATGAGTCAAAGGTCATAATGGGAACGATTCGAGAAAGGGCTCGGGTTGTTGAAGACCCCGACATGTACTATTGAAACACGTCGGGGCTGCTGCGTTACATTTGGCCCGTTACCCGAGATGGTAGAGACAACAGTTTTTTGGATAGCCGAAGCTAGTTGTGTTGTGTGTGTGTTCACAGTCGTGTAAAGCTCAGTGTGTGAGAGTAGATGGTTCCGCATGGCTGTGAAAGGGACTCAGTGTGTCGGAGAATGGAGAGACCGGATTAATGAGTGGGAATTAGCACGATTCTTTACAGATTTAATGTATTCTGTGAAGTATAGACCAGCACACCGATTGGAACAAGTCGTCATTGATTTTTGTGCAAAGTCTCTTGGCTTTCTGGCAAATTTCAGGGTGAAACCTCGGTTGTTAGGCACACCTCAAGGGTTTAAGATAATGTCAACTGCCAGAAACACGTCTCGTTGTCCCGCCGAGAAAGAATACCACGGACATTTGACAAATTTGTTACCCATTGCGCATACAATTTATTTCTAAGCATTGGCACCTTGTGGCTGTCTGATACAGTGACTTCACAAGCAATAATCGAAATCGTAATACCGAGAATATTGCTTTCCACGTGTCCATTTCATAACATTTTGTTAATTGACTTGGTCGTTCAACTAAGTTTGAGGTAATTATTCTCTAAGATTGCGATATCATCCATATAGTTGCCTAAGGATTCGGGAAAATGTTACGTTTTGTCCGTAATTAGGAAATCACAGTCAGGTGACCAGTACTCCAGATCCCTCGTCTGACGCTAGACATCACCATCCCACGCTAATGCAAGACAAGACTTCGTGCGGGGATCATATACCGACTTTGCCAACGGCCGTGATCCGTTTGGATGTGCTCACTTACATAAGTCAAGGATGACCTTGATCTAATGGATCAAGGCGGATTAACACAGATAGACCTGTCAGTAGGGTGTCGTGGATGAATTATCCACTGAAGTGGCGTGGCTAGGGGAATTGTGTATACCCTGATGAAATCCTAACCAACGATGAGGCGTCTTGGGGAATGCTGGATCCCTAACAGAAAACTTTAAGCCATAACTACAATTATCCAATGGGCAAGTAAATAAGGTTGATATGGGTGGGCTGTGTTCACATCAGCTGCTCCGGTAAACGATAGTTCGATTGTCTTTATAGCTGCGTTCCCCATATTAAATTGTTGCAACGAAGTATGGAGAGGAACAGTCGAGAGAATAACACTTCAGCGCTTGGCCTCTGTCAAGAGTTGGTAGTTGGGACGTTTGTCATGTGGCTCCAGCCATCAACTCCGAGTCCTAGACTGCAGCCAACTTTTGTCTGACTAGAATTTCCGACTCTGTTAGCGAGAAAATTCAAGGCACCTACTGACTGGCTCCCAGGGGGAACAACTATCATACTGTCTTTTGGGCCGTCACCTTTCCCTCCCACATAACTTTTATTAATTTTTTTACTTAAGGCCTGCACCAGTCGCATTCAACCAGCTGAAGTCCTGCTTTGAGGCACTCAACTCAAATAACCATTTTGTTCAGCACTTTATGGTAAGTTGGTGCAAATTGCTGTGGTCTTGATATTATGCATCCATGGCGTATTGATCCAAATGGTTTATTTCGATGGTCTGCCGCGTACTTTTCCCGAGAATAACATGATTTGGGTAACTACCTGCAAACAGCTACGCAAATTAATCGAGATGTGACTTTGATACTCATTTAAAATAACGCAACATTGACTAAACTTTGAATAACGTAGAATGCCTACCAAGGGGGACCCAAAACGGGGGGCGGCTCTTATCAGTCTGCCCCTCCTGGTTGACTTCCACATAGGCGACAGAAAAGGGCAGTAAGAGGGCCCTGGTGAATTCGAAACTACCGGACACAAAGGCAAAGGGCTAGAGCGTAAGGAGGGGATGGTTGTGTTGACCAGCAGATCCATTGGCGAGGGGATATGGATTGAGGAAGGTGGGACCAAGGACAGATTAGGCTGGCATGCGTTAACCGACTACCGCGCGTTAAAATCCGATCTACCCTGAACTGTGCGTTTTACGATGTCCATGACACTCATCGCCTGACCACGCGCGTCTAGCCAATGGACAGCAAGCGATAAAAAGAGTCGTTTTTTACCTTTTTGTCGCTAAGACGCGTTAATTTGTAGCAAATTCCACAATATTTCAACAACTTTAACGTTTGAAATTCGCAGATCAATCGATTCTAGTGCTAATTATGTTAAATTTCTCACAAAACACGTCGGCAATACTGAACTTTTAAATAAATAAACAATCAGGCTCACGCATAGTTTGGGTTTTGCAGAAGCAGTATTTTGTAAGCTTTCATATACACACCGATCTTTGGCGATACGGCATAATCCATGTTTTACATCTTGGTAGCTTCTGAAAAGCATCGCTTCACGTGGAATGGAACAGGAATATCGCCTAACGAAAACAGCCGGAATTCAGTTCAAGGACCTCAACAGATATGCCGATATGTTGCCATGTAGGTTCAAGAGGCGCCGAAGCTCAATGACTAAGAAAAACACACTATTTAAATCGCCTCTAATATTGCACTTTCAGATGATCAGTCGATGGTAATTCTAGGTCGTAAATGGCCAAGCATTGTTGAGGATCCAGAGCCTCAAATTACGGTAAGCCCTAAATTAGGAAAACTTTTCTATATCTGAATCACTCAGTTCCAATAGGTGCCTCTGGATTCGTCCCTCTAATGTGTAGCTTATTTTAAACAGATCAATAATTTAACCCCAAATAAACTTTACGAAGTGTATTTGATTATTGGGGAAAACCCTCTTTTCGTGTGGATTTACAGCCTTAAAATTCTGTAATATGATTGGTCATTTTGCAGGCTTGTTCATTTTGAAGATTTCTAGTTCGTTACTAGGCTGATTTTCTTGTTCGGCTAATAGTTAAAAGCCCAATTAAACCGATGCTCAAGTCATTAATTCGGGCTTAAAAGATTTTAGGCACCTCCTTTGGAAGTATCAGTAAACGGGGTACTAGCTGTTTACTAAGTCGTCATCATCCTCATCATCTTATTTACTTTACTAAGCTTTATCTTAAGGAACCAATAAAATCACACCAAGTCATTGATTCGAACTGCCCCCACATTCAGACGTTTATTAACGAAAGTCGCAGCTTACTAGCTGCACAATGCCAGAGTCCATTAGTTTCCTAAACAAATTTTCGGCCCAGTGTAAACAGAACGAAAAATAAACCAAAATGGTGTATTCTAAATGATGCTAAATCCTTTACAAATCACATTTTTGGTTGTATCATTTGGCCATTTTTATTCAAATAACGTCTGCTTGTTTACAGTTCACCGTCTTATCTATTGCATATTTAATCAGTTGACTTCGTCGCATTCAAAGTGTACCTCAGGTTTTTAGAATGACATTATCGGAATCTTTGTGTCGAAAAACAGTTTATTTTTTCACAAATCTCCCATTGTTGGATTTGCGTTAGTGTATTTAGAGGAAATTTCAATCTGTACTGTAACTTCTGTAGGCGGCTGAGGTAATCTGCGGTTACATCAACGCCTCCTACATTCGGCGACCGCGTTTTGGACCAAAGGGAGAGGCCTGTGTGGCAGATCCGTCTACAGTTCCGGAGTACATCGCATCCCAGGGACCGCTGACGCACACCATTGCCGACTTCCTCACGATGGTCTACGAGCAGAAATCGAAATTAATTGTTATGCTTTGTCGGTGAGGCTTGAGGTTTTCGTAGTTATTAGGCATAGTTTGCGCTAGCTTCATTTCTAAAGTACTTGTTGTGGGCCCCATCACGTGGTCTTAAACCACGCCGGGGCCACTGAATTAATTCTGGCCCGATTACGCTTCCCTGATACCCACGATGAAGAAAAAAGACCGGAGAGGACGTGGACACAACCGTTTACTTCACAGCGCAACCACGTTGGTGTAGCTGTGTCGTGTTTGGCGTTTGCGCGTGTGTGTGAGTCATAGCTGAGCTAACGTTGAGACCTAGGTGTGAGGATAATCCATGCTAAGGAGCGAGGAGTTGAGGATCCGCGCCGCAGGGGGTAGCCTGTGTCGGAGGCTAGCCTGATTGGATTAACGAATGTGAATCAATGCGATTCAAAACATACTAAAATGATTGGTTAAAAGTTTATTGTGGTTATGTGTAACTCTTCTGACTACTCCTTCTAACAACTTGATGAGATGCAACACAAAAAACATTCTTCTGTTATTGACTTAAAGACAAATTTCTTTGACTTGGGATTTCCCTGCCACCTTTTCGATGTCATCTTTCAAATCTTGGGGTAGAAAGGTGGTTCGCGAATAATGGGAATTAAACTCACTTATGAACACAACTCCACCCATAGTTCCGTGTCCAGGTTTGCTAAATTGCTAATATAACTTGCATCTAAATACTACTGCTCTCCATGTCATTCCACGACCTCCTTAATGTCCCTCTTTGTTTCTTTGTTGCCAAGAGTTCAAGAGGACGGCAAACGAAAATGCGAGCAGTATTGGCCAGACGAGGGCACGGAGATATTCGTATCCGCTACGCGTAGTGTTCGTGTCACCAATGTGAAGGAAGTAACATTCGGGAAGAACCTTATCAGCCGCATGCTGCTCATTCAGCCTCTGAACGAAACTGTGGTATGGTTGCGCAGACCTAACTTAACATGCTTGATTCCCAACTCTGCTGTGATTGTTGTCAGAGCTAGTTATACCGACATTCCCATAATGCCAAGACAAAGAGGTACGAATTGTAGTACTGTCACTTCATTAGTACTATGTGGAAATACATGAAGAGACTTGATGTGGGATTCTCACCACTCATTGGCTCAAATTTAGGTCGTACTTATATCGTATTTCTCACTTACCTCGTAGACATGACAGTTATGTGTGTAGCTATCTAGTAGGGATTTGCTCTAACGTGTGCTGCTCTCGATCCTTGTCTACCAGGAATTCGATACCCCTTTGGCCGTTTTTGAAACCGTATGGTTTTGTCGCATCACCGACAATGCCTTTCGTCGTTTACCTTGATAGCCTTTGCAAGTGACCCAGTACCACTACACAGAGTGGCCAGACTACGAAGTCCCAGACCTGGACACCTTCTACGAGTTGGTAACTGCGCAGATGCGATTTATGCGTAATCACTCCGTTAGTGCAGACCACGGGCCCGCGATCGTTCACTGCAGGTAAATTGTCTTTTATTTAAACACTGCTTCTAATGGTGTGTTCTGGGTCGTCTTCCTTCACGATTTTGAAAATCCAGACAGTAATGTAACCACTTTTTTGCCTTTCAAAGCGCTGGCATTGGTAGGAGTGGCACTCTGATCGTTGCGCGTTTCCTATTGGACAGGCTGAGACGCAGTGCAGAATTTATTGATATTTTTGGAATAACTTTGGCTATTCGGAAATGGAGGCCCAATCTGGTCCAAGTTTGGGTACGTTCTGGTGCTGCGAATATCGCGCTGTTTATGCGCAATGAAACTTACATTCTTGACGTGTAAACAGTTCAGTGTGTTGAAAATCACACTTAATTTTAATACCAAACAATGAATTTTATGAAAACTTCACTTGACCTCCACCTGTGACATTGCGATAATAATTAAAATGCGTTTGTAGTAGTGTGGCACTGTGTTTTAACTTAAAATTTTCAAGAAAACGAACTATTTTTTTAAACTTTTTAATTTCGTACGCCTACTTGAAATAGATTTTGATAGTCAACTTTCACGCAAATTTCACGTCAAGCCATTAGTGTGTTGTGGGCCCCAGCACGTGGTCTTGAACCACGCCGGAGCCACGGAATTAACCCTGGCCCGATTACGCTTCCCTGATACCCGTGATGAAGAAAAAGACCGGAGAGGACGTGGACACAACTGTTTACTTCAAAGCTCAGTCACGTTGGTGTCGTGTCGTGTGTGGGGTTTACGCGTGTGTATTTATACTTCGGATGTGTGAGTCATAACTGCGCTAACATCGAGACCTAGGTGTGGGGATACTCCAAGATAAATATTCGTGCTAATGAACGGGGAGTTGAGGATTCGCGCGGCTGGCTACATGCTGCGGCAAGAGGAACCCTGTGTAGGAGGTGAAGCGACCGGAATAAGGGGTTGAATAAACACGATTCACAACAAGTGTACGCGAAGGTTAACCAAAATACCGCTAATTATGGACGTTCAAAATCCGTCTCTGCGTCTTGGTTGTGATTTGAACTGAGATATTCTTGTAAAACTTTGAATAGGTCCCTTGCTGGTTGCTCCTTTCCATAACCCTGCATGAGCCCATGGATTTCCGTGGTTATCGATTTTCAGGTTCAACTGCGATTTCTGTACGAGTTCGTTCTTTACTGCATTGAAAGGGAGAACATCAACCCGACACCAAGGGGCGGCGATGCGATGCTCCCGCGCACATTTGCTGAGTGCGCCAATGGAGTTGGTGAGGCAAGTAGGAGACATTTTGCCATGCTCTCCACGAATTTTCTACTTAAAACGCTTTTTTAAGTAGGCTTAGTGAAGCACTTCCTACTATGCAAATATGGTAACATGTATTTCTTACAAAATTTTTATCTTTGAGTATTCACGAGCTATTACTTAATAAGCAAAACTTTCTGATAACCTCTAGATTATCACGAGCACATTTCTTCCAAAATAAATAACTGTAACACGGATATTTTTGGTAAAAATTTCAGAAGTACTTTTTCTGACTCTTTAATTTACATTTCAATTAATTTCAGAGAGTAAGACATCGCAATGTGACTTTTGTACGGTGAAGTTGAGTCACTGCATTTGGGCATTAATGCATTTTTACTACCCGGTGTTAGCACGGTGCCAAAACAAGCCTTTTTTGTTGTTTTTTTTTCAGTTTCGAACTTTTTTCTGTTTAAAATTGAGGAAAAGATTTGTGAGTTGTCGTTTCATACCATTTCTAGTCTTTTATAAATTTCTTAACTTTTCGATGACAAAGAAATAATTTTTTTTGGTATCTTGCAGATTTGAATGCGGCACTGAACTGATACGTGACCTTTGTGTCCGTAACAATGCATTTTTCCGCGATAGACTACTAAAACAACTTGCTACGCAATGGTTACTAGAAGCTGCCGATTTTAGAAACGAACCATATTTGATGGTTGTTTTTCTCAAACAGCAGCTAAAATCGGCGAAAGTTTGAATTCAGTGAAAAGGCAGACAGATAGCGTTGACTAAATAACAAGCCAAAATAGATATCAACCACTCTGTTTGTTAAATTTTGCGATCGTAGGACGCATAACTGTGCTTTACGAATGCTTCAACCCAGTAGAGGCCGGTGAAAATAGGGTACTCACAAACTACCGATGGCCAAGTTTTAGTAATATATCTTTTAGCATACAACCATATGTTGCGTGCAGGCTTAGAATGTTCAAAGACGATTAAGTACATTTTTTAACACCCAGATTTCCGATTTGATTTACTTCTTTTATATGCTTTTTAAGGGCATGAATATGAGAATCTGATAGACACAACCAGAGGTACGTTCGCCAAACCTAGCTAACCTTTTTTTGTGTTTTTCAATGCCAACGCATTGTGAACAGCCTTAGTTATAACTCAAGGGTTATAAGCACTAAGTATGATTTTTAAGAAAAATTAAATTCTAAAATCAATCAAGTCGGAAAATTTCACTAAATCGAGGGTTAATTTTTAAACACGTGATAGGTTCTGAATGCCTTTATGCCGCAGTTTTTTGTGGTGCGTTTAGATTCGGCACTTCGAGAATACTTATTTAGCCCATTCTTTATAGCCACAAATCACCCAGGTTTGTCGCAGGTCAGTCACGCGAAAGTTGTAAAAATATGATTCATTTCATTCTTTGTTTTAGAGAAGGAAAGTGACCTCCAGAGTGCATAAACAAGACTCCAAAACCGGTCGACAGTGTTGCCAATGATCCACGATGCCCGGTCACATTAAAAAAATATTTCTTTTAGGATTTATTCAAATGATAGATCTGAAAATTGTCAGAGATTTCAGAAACTTGCAATTATTTTTAAGAAATCCAACGATGTGATTTATAATATCATTCGCTGATAATATTAAATATATGAATATGCAGTCGGAAATTAAATTTAGACTACTTTTTTTCATTTGAAAACTGTTGGAACTTTCTTGACATTGTGTTAAGTCACACAATGTTAATTATCCTTGCAAACACAACTCGATGTCTAATTTAGGATGGGTTTTTGAGCGTAAACTCCTAGCAACAAATTTTGACCACTTACTTATCTGTGGAAATAAGTAACAGTGATAATTTTGTAGCATTCTGTCTATTTATTTCGTAAAAAAATTAGAAAAAGCATTTAGCGAAATAGGTAAATTTAAAGGCCATCTTAAGCAGGACCGAATTAATTTCTTCGATATTCATGGTTCTACTTCGCTTTGCACTTGGCTATATTTTTATACTGAAACGCAACATGAGCCAGTGCACACTATAAAAAAGATATCTTCTAAAGGGCTCTTTTATAATTTAAAAGCAGATGCTAGATGGATAGATTCCTGCCAATATATTTGCTCCAGCCGATCAACACTGGTTGTACTTGAGAAGAGGAAATGGCGATGTGAGCGATAAGGCATTTCAAAGACAATCATCGATTTACTCATTAGACAAAGTGCAATATTTTGAGTGTAGCGGGTGTATGGCGTGTGCTTGGGACACTGATACCAAAGAGTGAGGAGGCCTACACTCATACGCATCAGTTGCTGGTTTCCTGAACACCATGAAACCACCATATCTTATAGGCAAACAAGATAGTCCGATTAAGCGCGTAAATTGGCTCGCAAATTGCAGAAAACCGAAAGCAGTTCCGAGTCATTGCGTCATATTACTATGAAGAAAACCGATTTTTAGACACCTTTTTGAAAGGGAAACAATGTTGATAAGGCAAACATGAGTTTACTTCGAGATACTGCATTTATTGCAATGTTTTTGACCGGTAAACAAATGTGCGTATATTAGTTACTTTATAGGCGATCACACAAATTTTCATGGATTCTGATGCTTGAGAAGAGGGCCTCCAGGTTCTAAAGTAATAATACAAGAAGTGCAGCGAAAATTCAGTTAATTTATTCATAGAAGGTAGATACATATAAACCGAAACGAAGTTAAAATTTGTTCAATTTGATATATTTCTCAATATTTTGAGGATTGAACTTAAAAGTGTTACATTGGGACTATCATTTGAAATTATTAATATTAATAGATCTTACCTGACGGCATAGTAAGAAGACTGCCTGAGGACTTTGTACGACCTCTTATACGCTAGACTTAGTGTGTAATTATGCTCATAGGTAATGTTAATACAGCACGTTCAAGAAAAAAGTAATGTAACGATACCTTATGTCCCATAATCGCTAAAATTCGCTGACGGTATAATAAAACGACAATATTTTGTATCGGAGTGCTATGTGCAAAGGTTCACCTTCCCATAGAAGGTATATGTTGTAATTTTTTATGTAGGTACACAATTACTGAAGTTGAAATTCATTAAGAGGGTCTTTAGCGTCGAGCGCTAACAGTATCTATATTCCACTTGAAGGGAAAGAGGATTGACATGCAGAATTCGAACCAAAAAATAAAAAAAACACAATCACTGGACGTTCAAAAATGTGAACTAAATTCATTCACCACCAGCTTACTGTTCTGTTTATTATTAAGTGTATCGAATTTTTTCGGTGTCAATAAATTATTACAATTTCTCTGATTAAAGTAGTTTTTAATAGCACTTCACTTAATAAATCTAATTTCAAGCTAAGTTATTTAAGTGACAAAGCAATAAAATTCAATAATTTATTTTCTGACCTAAATCAGTTTTCAATATCAATTCAATTATAAAGAGGAAAATTATATACGCATGCTGCTATTGTAAGTTTCCTGAGTTTCCATTGGTTCATCCGCCTTTCCGTCTGTTGTCTTGATTTACTGTGCTTGAAAATGGACCACATTAAGTTACCTAAAGTAGGAGTTTTGCGTTTTGTATGATCTAATCAATGATACTCTTGAACTAATTCACGCGTTTTTGAGTTTAAACTGTCAAGAGCTTGTCATTACCATTCTGCAACCGTCTAGTTCCAGGTTCTTGTAGCTTCGACATGCAATTTTTTTTTAACTTTTCAAACTTTTTAAACCACTCAAGGTTTTACTTAGTACCATGTCTTATTCTAAGCACACATTATGCTAGTAATTTAATCTGTGTAACGGGTCTCAATTTAAAAATATTTAAACAGTTCTTTAATTGTTCACTTAACCATACCACGAATCTGTCTGGCTTCCCAGGATTCATTCGTCCTTTTTTTAAACACAAGTTGCTAGTAGTTTCCATCAGCACTTACTGAAGATACCAACCGCTCGTCGTGTAGGGTGCATGAAATAAATTGAGGGACCTTTTGGTGCCCTGTGTACACATGTGTCTAAATGATTTCACAGAATAACTATGTGCGAAATCAATCAAATACTGCTAGAGAATAAAGTAATGTCCCAGTTCTGTGTCTGCCTACTAATTTCCAAATCGTCACTTGGAGTAAGATTATAGTGTCCCTTTAATTACTAGCAGATGCTACAAGCAACTAACTGAGATTTTTACGACAGCTTTGTGATTCGTTATGTAATCCATTGAAGTGGTTTTTATCGGTTTATTCTCTTAATTGGGGGTAGATAACCTGCGTTTTCCAAATATGAATTCAAAAGACTGTCGATTTTGTCGTAAAGGTGTAATTTGACTCCTTTTAAAGCCACTTTAAGGGATTATTATAATCCAGCCAACTTAGCTGTTTTTTTTCTAAATGTTACATGTTTGGCTGCACCTCAAAATTAGAGTCATTTTCATACCCTTTTTCGTTTATTATACACACGGAATTGTAGAATAACCTGTTCATAAATGAACTACCTCTTCACCTAAACCAAAAAATCCTTCTTCATGGAGCCACTCCTTTTTCAGTCATGTGCCGCCTCTGTGTCCTTTCGGCAAATCAAAAGCTGCTAGTTACCAAAGATGACGATGTTCTAGGTAAAGAATTTGAAAGAGGATCTGCGTTCTCTTAATTGCCCTCGTTAATTTTAAATCAGGTATTGCTATTCTAGTATTCACACATGTTCCATTTATTACATTTTATGGTTTTGCCATGTTTTGGATCAATCCCACGTTGCAGCAGGCCCGTAATAGTCGGCAAACTGACTCAATTGACGTGTTTTAGGTTGATAATGTGACATTTATTGACCGTTTCAATGGCTACGCATGGATTCAAGGCGTTCTTCGGATTACCGTCACTCATACCTTCTTTATCGATGATTCCAAAAGGCACGAAATCTGGGTATGAGTTCAAGTAATTTTCCTTAAATGCCTATGAAACTCGTGCAACACTGGCACATTCACACAGTTGCAATTGATATATTGCTCTTTAATGGCTGTGGCCAGTGTTAATTGAAAGGGGATTGCTTATAACCTCAGGGTCGGATTTGAGGGCTAGCACTAGTTGTAAGTATTTTGCAGTTAACATACCTAATAAAAGGCCGCTAGTTGAAAAGGCTATACAAAAATATCTGTTTATCTTTATTCATCCTGAAACTCAGAAACCTGGTAGTAGCTCCAAGGAAACCTTGTAATTTGTTTGGTAGTACTTCAAATTGCATGCTTTCTTGGTGATCTGCGCCAGGTATCTGCATCTAAAGGTCCTGATTACACATTTTCTTATTTCTGTAGGAGACTACTTTTGATATCTCATCCATTTGAACGACCTCATGGGTTATACTAATACGTCCTCTATTTCATGCGCAGGCTTTAGGTGCCGTTTTGTTAACTGAATCCAATCATTGACCTGCTTAGTTGTTTTATTCACTGGTTCTGAAAGTATTTTAAATGTAGGCAAACAGTTCTTAGTAGTTCCCGGTAAAACTGAAGTGTTTGAAGTGGCTTTTTCGGGACAATTTGTTACGTAATCGCTGTGACGGCAAGCAAACTACTACTGACACAATCTGATTCTATGTAACTGCATTTGAACACCGATGTTCCCCTAAGTTGACGCAACCAACTCCTCGAATACGTCAAGTTCCAATCTTCATGTATGTTTACATGAAGTAGCTCTACTCAGGTGGTGCTTTGGAAGACGGTTAGTTTGTTATCGGAACTCAGGGAACCGCGGTTATGTAATGCTTAGTGCAGGACGGTTTGCCCTAAATCACAGCCTTTAAAGGGTGCCTTGCTACCCGCTCCACAAAATGCAATTGACTCAGACAGCTTATTTCTGTAAAACCCCACTCTTTGTCCTTCCATTGATCACCCCTATTATCAGTAGTTTCATTTTCCCAACACGATATTACTTGGCCTTCTTCAAGATTCAAACGTGCCTGATTGACCGAGTCGAACGGTTGCCGCTAACGGCCTACGGCGCTCCGCTCATCATTCGCGGAAAGGACTTTCGTGTAGCCTGTTTCCTCATCCGCCATGACAGGGACTGCCAGAAGGTCTACGATACCCTCACTCGGCTCGCTCAAGTTCGTAAGTCCATCAACTCGCGTTATTTGTTCTAATTTTTTAATCTTGAGCACCTCTCGCCAATTTTTTGGGCCGAACTTATCAGGTGCATGAGTTGTTATTCATGGAAAGACACAATGCAGTAGAAGATTGTTGCCGTTTTTGGGAAAAAAGCAGTTTTGTTGTACGATCCAGGTGGGCCAGTTTTCGATACCGCATCCTGTGAGTTAGGCTGCACATGTGTGTGGTTTATTTTGATGTAGCAATGGAACTGAAGGTGGCCTGTGGTAAACAGAACTGCTGCATTTTTATTACTCCTTATGCATTTGGCTCCGTGACAATTTCGATACGGCGTGCACAGGGAGTTTTTTCAAGTACCTCTACTTATTTTTACACCTCCAAATGACCAGCCTAAGGAGTCACCTCAACGTTGAAGCCTTTGATTCAATAGGCTTGTTGTCTTGTTTTAGCTAGCATCCAATATCTTCCGTGTTTCCGTGATCGGCCTCTGGGTCTTCTGGCTGAGAGGTGCCAGGGATGGGATTTCTTCGATTTGCGCTCGGACTTCGAGCGAATGGGTCTGCCCAACAATTCATGGGTCGCCTTGGACAACAGCTCTTATCAGGTATTGGATCCGTTTTAAGTACCAGCAGTAAACGGATTCGCCGAAACGGTTGTGGTTGCGTCTTTGATGCAAACTCGATGCAGGAGTTACGCCAATCTTGTGTGATCAATGGTTCAAGCTCGAATAACAAAGTGAGGCAAATTGAGAGGTCGTCATGGGTGTTATTGTCCTCGTGTTGAATTTTTTAAGCCACAAACAACTTACTCAATTTCCAATTAGTTTCTAGCCACTTACAAAGTGCCCACAAACTTTCCAACAAGGAATTTGACAGGAGCTAAGCCGTATAGCACTTCACGCGGTGCTCTGAGGACATCTTGCTGTTTCTTATCTTCGTCGTTGCCTCGTATTCATCTATCCGCAAAAGGCTGTTTTTATTTAAGCGATCGTCTGCCACAGGAACGCACTTGCACGCTCCGATTGTCCTTCTGTAAGGTCACCTCTTTCACGAAGGTGCCTGTGAATACGTAGTCGGTTTTATTCAAAGGTCATGTGTTTTTTTACCACGATGACACACACCATTTGGCCTTTGGGATGATTCGTGGTGGCTTGCGAAACCCAGAACAGTGTCGCCTGGTATGCACACAACTACGCACGCACGCACAACCGCGTTGCCCCAACCTGTGCGAATGTTTTGGACCTGAGATCGAATGTGTGTGTGGATAAACTGTCGCCTGGCGGATAACACAGGCCACAGCTGTAACCCCCATGTTTTGAGGGAATGAACTGCTCCGGGTAGATGTAGAGTAGCATCCTGGCTAGCTGCCAGGGCCTGCCAGATATCAATTACTGAGTTGAGCAACTGGAAGTAAATGCAGAAGTTTCTTTTCTAGATTTGCGACACCTACCCAGGTCTGTTGTTTGTGCCCGAGATCGCCGATCGGACGACTTTGTTGGGGAGTGCCAACTTCCGCTCCCGTCGACGTCTCCCCGTCCTCACCTGGATCCATCCAAACGGCAAGGTTAACCACTGACGTTCTTAGTGCCACACATGCTATTTTTCAGTCGACGCTATTCGATGAATGAATGTGCTAGATTCAAATAGGTGTATAATTTTTTTCACAGATTCTTCAGCAAATTTATTTGATATCCAAAAATAGGGAATAGCGAACTTGATCTCGGAAATATTCTCGTAGGAATACCATCCCGGCTTCGAGGCAATAAAGTCATCATCGACGAATTTGCGCACATGCTGTACCCATTTTGAACTCTATCCGTTAAGGCGTGCTGCTGCCGCGTTGACCGCAACAAATGGTAGCCGGAAGGGGCCAAGTCTGATAAGTATGTCGCGTGTGGGAGAACTTCCCATCCCAAGTTCAAGAGGGTCTTCGGAGTCGCGGAACCAATGTGAGGTGGTCGAGCAGTATGACTTGCCCGCTTCCTTGACTAGCAAATTGCCTTTTCTGATCACGTTCATCGCTCAGTTTGTTGAACGTTGCACAGTCACTGTCCGACAGCCAGTTTCCCGGAGTTCGTAGTAAAGTATATCCTTCATGTCTCTCCAGATACACAGAAGTGAAAGGCCTGTAGTCATGCGCTGACCTAGGTTGTGTTAGGTCAACACATATGGCACCCGACTTCTACGTTTTTGACTTTTCCCATTTGGTGGGGCAGACGCTGGGAAATAGCTGTCTGGTTGACTCCTAACTGAGCCGCAAGCTTCTGTTGCGTTTGCTTTGAGTCTTCATCCGGTGGGGCTTGCAAATCCGCATCTTCACACTTTTGAGGCTGCTGTCCGACATGGGGCTGGTCAATAAGATCAAAATGACCACTTCCGAAACGTTTGCGTTGTTGGAATTCGTATGAAATGCAGTGCCATTGAATGCGCTGTCTATCAGTTGCCATCGTGGTAATCTCTGCTATTGTGAGAGGTGATGTAACCCACGTTGACTTTTCATTCGTTGTTCTGAAACCTAGCATTCGATCCTTCCAAAACCACAACAGACCGCGAAAATATTTCTAGTTGAAATATAAATTTAGACTCGCTGAGCCGATCCGTACAAATTAAGTCATACACCAAGTAGTTCTAGCTGAACAATGAATTTCGCACTTGCGTTATTTGACTTCTTTGCAAGGCGTAACTTCGAGTTCTCTAGTAATAATTTATTTATTTTATCCCAGTTCTGATCTTCCAGTCTGACAGTGCTATATTTCCAGGCAGTGTAAACGAACAATCATTGCGTAGTTTTGTTGCGTCACCCCTACTTTTCTCTTTACGAAAACTCGAGCTTCGTGGTGGGTGGATTTCGCATGCGCCTTGATTTTCCTTCGAACTAGGCGGTCCTGTGTAGGTCCAGCCAGCCGCTGTCGGGACTCACAAGCAAGTCAGTCGACGACCAACTCATGCTGCGGTGCATTCGCTGTGCCAGCGGCGACGGGCCCCTGCTGTACGTGGTGGACACACGACCGCCGCTTAACGCCCTCACCAATCGCGCCCAGGGCAAGGGCTATGAGGACGTGAACGTCTACAAGGACATCATCCTCAGGTTCTTGCAAATCCCAAACATCCACGCCGTTCGCGGATCCCTGGAGAAACTGCTTAAAGGTACTTCCGCGACTTCTCTGTCCGTTGTAGCCAATTTCATGTGTCATGTGCTTCGAAAAAGCGTCAAGTGAGAATCTCGGCTTGTCATTGCACACGCCACATTATCTGACTGTAAGGTCACAGTGAAAACGGGCATCACGTGTAACAAAGAGTAAACAAATCAGGCTCTTGGATCTTATCCTGTGTCTTTGCTTTACGCACATAATTTTAAAAAACCCCAACACGATCGTAATTTATTCACCACAGAACTTCAAAGGAAATCTAGCCGTTTTCCTGGGTTATATGTTTTTAATAAAAGGTATTTCGTCTTTGCCAGACGCCAAGTTAACACTATCACTCTTCCTTTCAAAACACGACTACTTTGTGTATGAATTCGTTGAACAGAGAGGGCTGTCGCACGTACGCAGGGCGTCTGTGATGCAAGCAGAACTGAACACTCGGGACATGTCGGCATGGCGCCAGCAAATAGGTTCACATTACGCGTATTTACCGCGGATAGGTCCGTCGAAATGCCCTCCATTGTCGACGAATCCAAAGGCCGCTAGAAAAAACGTCCTTGTGTGCACCCAGTCTACATTTCAACCGCTGTCAAATGCGGCGTCGCCAACAGTACACTTAAGTGTTTACCTCGTCTGTCAACTTATCGAAAACCATTGCTACACCATAACAGCCAAGGTTTACATGTGTGTATAGGGCTTCTCAACGCAGATCTCAGTTCAATTCTACCTTTTTACTGGTGAAGAGGCATTGACCGCGAGAGTAGGCGTCGAGTTTGAGCTACCAGAAACTTTGCAGTCCTCGAAGAATGTCACTCAGTGAGAGCCAATGAGGAATTCGGAAGCCAAGGCCTCGATTGCGATGCGCGCTCTTGCATTGACTAGATTCCGTGATATGGTTCTCCCCAAGTAGCAGTAGTCGACCGACTAGCCTACGAAGACGCAATAATTTGTGACTAAGTCAATTTGGGTGTTCAGGGGCATGGGCCATTAACTCATATTACCTGTGAAGATTCCAAATAAGATTAACTAATTCTCCAGTTTTTTTATCCAAACAATTGATTTGAATCAGCATTCTATCTGCTTCTTTGGTTCAACTTTAAGAGCATTTTCGATAGCTTATGTGCTCATTTCTGCGTGTTTTTGTAGTCTACCAAGATCCCAAAGTGAGCCTGAAGGATCTCAACTCGGCTGTGGACAAGTCCTCGTGGTTGCGCTACCTCCGGCTAATTGTGGAGGCCGCTTACTTCATAGCGTCTCGGATGGAACCAGAAGCTGGTGGTTATTCATTCCTCGTCCACTGCTCCGACGGTTGGGATCGAACAGCACAAGTCTGTTCTCTTGCACAACTCATGATAGATCCGTACTACCGCACCTTCAATGGATTTCAGGTACTTTGAGTTGGCGGTGGACTAAGATTTGGCCCCACTCTGCATTACTAGTGTGAATCGGGCTGCCTCTAACTTCACACCTTGCTCATCCAACTGGATGCCTTTTTCCCCAGATCCCAGCCAGAACTAGTTTCCAATTGTGACGTGTTTCCGCCCTAAAATTGCAGGCTCTGATTGAGAAAGACTGGCTATACTTCGGCCACAAGTTCACCGATCGCTGTGGGCTCGTAGACTCAGTGGATCCTCGTGAAGTCTCGCCCATTTTTGTACAGTTCCTCGACTGCACCCACCACCTCCTCGAACTCCTTCCGGAGGCGTTCGAGTTTAACTCGCGAATGCTCCTCGAACTGCATGACCACTCGCGCTCTGGGCTCTACGGCACGTTTATCGGCTGCTCAGAGAGGGAGCGAATGCAATTGGGGTGTGTCTTATACATCGTTAATTTTGCTTGCTCCAATCACGGGTTTATAGGCATTACTGATTTAAATCAGAACCCACATGGCAATGAAGTTATCATTTAGATTGAAACAGGACTAGGCGAAGTGAAACTGGCTGTAGGGACGTTTGTACACCACCAAAACCATCTTGTGCGGCTTCTATGTCAGTTGAGCCCTTTTTTGCTGTGTTGTACCATCCTCAGGTTATCGCAGAAAACCTATAGTTCCTGGGCCTACTTTGCGGAAAACAGACACCTTTTCATAAATCCCCTCTACAAACCGCCAGTCGCCTTCGCTCAGGCTCGAAAAACAACCAACCGACCGCATGTGACTGCACTCCTTCCTGCATTTGTGACCTCGCCCCATCTCTTCGGGTTAGTGCATTTACTATCTTTTTTCTGTAGATGATTTTCACGAAACATCAGCCTCCCCTCACTCACTTACGAGGTTGTATTTAAGAAAATCCCATCTCCTTGTTTGACTTTGTGCTGTTCTTATTATCGGCCTTAAAAACTTGCGTTGTCGATCGCTTTTTTATTGGTTGGTTTGCTGTCGTGTTAGTTGAGCACTGGAGGGGTGCGTGTGTGTGTGTGGAATGGGTATGTTAACCGCAGACAAATCTAGTGGAATGCATCTCCACAATCATGTCTTCATGTTGTAGCCCCTGGGCGGATCTGTTCCTTCGACGGGAATGGCGTATCCCTAGCGTTTCGCAAAGGACCGTCGAAGTGGTCGATGATTTGAAAACCCAAACCAAGGCCCTCTCGGCGTACTCGTGCCTCCTGCGAAAGCGCGTCCTTGAATTGTCCAAACTCCTGGGCAAATCACAGGCCGAGATTCGCGACCTCCTGTCACTCAACGGTAATCGCGAAGTAGGTGACTCCATCGGCCTTCATGTTGTCCCAATAAGTGAATCACCTCCACCAGTTCAAAACCTGTTCGTGTTGATTGACCGGACTGGATAATCAAGACCACGCTTGTGCTTCTTATGTGCTGCAGGTGGCTTTTGATTGGCTGGTTCATTCAAATTTCTTAAAGAAAGATAAGGTTGAATCTGGACTCTGGTTTAAAGCATTTGGTCCAGCTTTAGCTCGAAGCCAGGGGGTTTGAAATTCAAGTGGTATTCATAGAGGGGGCCTAATGAAAGTCCAAATATACGTTCAAACTTGCTTTCCCTTCTCTCAGGAAGCCCCCTACATGGATGACGATGATGATTATGCCGTCGTCAACGATTCGGACTCCAGTCAAAGTACTTTTAAAACTCCGGGTACGTCATTTTCTCCCAACTTGCTAAAAACACCTCGATCTTGATGCCCTTAATCTTGAGGCGCGTCCAAGAAACTCTAATAAGCGACCCGTGTCTTTGAACACTCACATCGACAAAGCTCTACCGCGCATATTGCGTGTCGTCGGTCGGTACCGCCTTTTTCAGCACAGGTGCGTTATTTGGTTCTCGAGGGAAGCGCAGAGTTCGGTGCTGTTAAGGCGGGTTTGGCGTTGTGGGAGACGCGGTGCATTCGTTTGAATTGGTATCAGTAAGTTTAGCGGTGTTTGTGTAGGTTTGCTTAAAGCCACCTTATAGTAGCTGGGTTCTGATGGCCGAGCTTTTTTCTAATCTGTAAGAAGCGGTACTTTAAATCCGAGGAAAACGGGGTCCAGAGTTATTTGCACGGGTTTTGTTCAAGGTTACGATAAGCCGATATTGGGATCACTAATTGCACTCACGAGGAATAATGACTTTCATTTGCGCAAGTATGTAATCACTGTCAATCGTAGGCCAAATCCACAAAGTTTTTCAACAGTTCCGATGCGTGGAGGTGTTCTTGCAGATTCGATCACCTGAAAACGCTTTATGACTCGTGCCCTTGAGCACCCAAATCGCGTTAGTCACAAATTATTGCGTCTTAGTAGACTAGTCGGTCTACTACTGACATTTGTGGAGTCTACCCGATGCAAGAGCACGCGTCGCATTCGAGGCCTTGGTTTCCGAATTCCTCATTGGCTCTCATTGAGTGACATTCATCAAGGACTACGAGGCTGTCACACTCAATGCTCGCTCTCATGGTATCTGCGTCAAGAGTTAGGCAGAATTTAACTCAGATCCGTGTGGAGAAGCACCATACCATCGTGTAAACCTCGGTTGCTATGGTGCAGTAATAGTTTTTCATAGTTTGATAGATGGGATAAATGTTTGATCGTATTGTTAGCGACGTCGCATCTGATGGCGACTAAAATGTAGACTGGGAGCACGCAAGTTGATATCCTGAGAACGCTCTTTTTCCTTGCAGTGTCTGATTCGTTGACAATGGAGGGCATTTCGAAGGACCTCTCCGTGGTAAATACGCGTGACGTGAACCTCGTTGCTGGCGCCATGTCGACATGTCCCGGGTGTTCGGTTCTGCTTGCATCACAGACGCCCTACGTACGTGCGATGGCCTTTTCTATTCAAATTACTGCTTTAAAAAGCCTCGTAATCAACCTCTTTCGTTTCTTCCTGCAATCTCGCTGCTGGTAAACGCGTTCTTACCTAGTTTTTGTGGCAGCGAATCCAAATGGTTTGTTTATCAGAGACCGCACCACACCCGTAGTAAACGCATTTGCGCACCCAACTCGCTGTCTTCGTTCGTGGTAAATTTCCCCTCAGTGAACCTTTTGTTATTTTGGTTGTGTAAGCCGAGTTTTGGTGAACGCGTTCCACCATCGATTAGTGCTTGCTCGTCCTGCCCATTGGATCTCCCTCGGTGTGTGTCGTGTGGCCTGTTTAGCCATGCCATAGAAAGGTTGCCGATAGCGCCTGATTTTACTTCACTCATTTCATCGTCACTCACTTTGGCGTGGATCTCTTATAGCACGCACTTTTGACGTCTTGATTTTAAATTCGTGCTGTGTCTCAAATCGAGATTCAACAACAGCACTCAGGTAACCAATAGAAAATCTATTTCGCCTGCAATTTATCAGGGTCAGTTGGTTGCATCAGCTATGTTTGCTATCTACAGGGAAAATTATTTTCAACCCTGAGTATTCAGAATCTCATTGGTCCTTTTTCTCGACGTGGCAGTTAAAATTGCATGTGAAAATGCAACGGCATAGTCATTGCCGCAATATCGATCTACATCCGTTCTACCAATCTCCAATTGGCTGGGTTTGCTCCTCATTTTAAACCTTTCTAAGTTGTGGCAAAATGCGTCGATTGAAGCCCCAATTAAACGCCAGGGGCTAATGAAAACTCACTATGAGGTGGGCTCGTTACTTGTGTGTGCATGTATCATTTACTTGATTAAGCAATAACACTTAGGCTGATGTAGACAGAGCTTATTGGTTAGAAGTGACGGTGTCAGTTGGTGCCTTGACACCAAGTAACCCTCCGATACCATTATCGTGTCATGCGGTGTTGATCTTTACATCGACCTGTCTACTCCCAGCTTCCGCCAATTCAACTTGCTTCAGCCCTGATGAGTAGGTCTGCGTGTTTGTCGCGACGTCATTTTAATTTTAGGCGCACTGCGTTCGATGCGGTCAGTTGGTATGCTCGAGTTGTCTTTCCCCAACCGACGCCAATCCCACCGGTGTCATGTTGCCCTTCTGCAAGACCTGCCAACGCCAAACGACAGCAGTAAAGCAAAATAATTTATGATTTTATTGATCTTACACAGCCTTTTCATTTTGTATTGATAACCCATCTCTCGCCTTTCTACTTGTTACATGTATTTACCTTCAATGAAATTTTGACTCACTTCTTTTTTTTTGAAAAAAAAAACTATCTGTGCATTCCTCCAATGTCTGTTTTTTACGCATTTTGGGTGAGTAGTTTGTTTGTCCCTCTTAACTCGAGGTACGTGTTTTAGTCAAATCTGCTGATCTCAAGTCTGACACCACATCTGTTTCTCTTCAGCGAGTGTTTGAGATTTTGTAAAAAAAAAGTGACAAGGAAATCAGTAAAAGTGCAATCTTACTTCCAAGGCACATCCAGGCCTCTACTTGAAAGTGCTCGCAACTGTAAACAAAACGGTTGGTTTGTGCGATAGACGTCAGTGTGATCGAACCACAACCATGCCAATGAGTGTCGCCTCGTATGATCTTCGCGACTTCCCAAACTAATTCGCACGCCTATTTACGCTCGCACCAACGTGCTTGTTTTAACTAAGCCCGTCAGACACGAACCACTAATTTCCCCCCCCCTAGTTGTCGTAAATGTTTTGCTAGTGTGCGTGAATCTAACTACACAGGTTGCATAAATGTACTTTCCTCGGTTAAAAACTGAAATTATGACAATCAAAACTGTGCTGGCATTGCAGAGACTATTTGCTTCCCCAATGGATCCGAGGTAATAATGGACCACTCTGGTTGGTCTCGCAGATTCGAGTTCCTGAGCTCATTCACCGTCAATAATTAGCCGCAAACAATGACGATGAAACAATTACGCGATTGCCTAACGTGGAAGAACGAAACAAAAGCACTTAAATGGTGGTTGCAAGTGTTCGGCTTGAACGCATTGTCGGAGCTCATGTGCCGCAGGAGGCCCACTGAATTGTGTTCTCGGGTTTCGGTCGGGCATGGCGTTGACGTCATCCGCCAACGAATCACACACTACGCACCACGTTTCCGCGGGAATTTACTGAACAACTACTTCAAGCCACGTAAAACGCTACATGTAGATCCTCGTTCCCAAGTGCTTGAGTCGAAGAGGTTATGTAGTCAGGATTTATCGCTGCTTATCGCCTCCCTTCCAACGATAATCTAAACCCTTTTCCGTGAGTTGAGTTGACCGCACATGGTGGGCTGATAATTGGGCGTTTTTGTCTTGGAAACCTTGCGTTTATAACTCAAATAACGCCGAACTCCCGGCAAGGTAGGTGTAAAACTTTGAAGTACGAAGTCAAAGGAACAAGTCCAGTGTTAAATTATCGCGCGAGCATCTCCCCCCTCCACACACAAACATGGTGGCTTGCTAATCGACTGTGTTGCTACGACAAGTACTTAATGAGAATGCCTTGGTTTACTTCGATAAGCTGCGTCAGCTGTGGGTTTCGTTTCATCTGCACGGACACTGATGCGATCTGGCTCCTGAAATTTCTGATTTCAAGCAGAATTTGCGTTTAATTTACAAGTGAGCACTCAACAATCAATGCTGTGGAATTTCAGAGTGGTAAGCTGCCTCTGCTTTGACTGCTTCCCCGCTGCTCACGTAAACACCCCGATAACATATCCCCGCTTCTACGCATGCTCGTCTAAACCAATTTGTAAAGTACCAAAGGCGGTACACGAATTCTATAAGATACTTCAGCAGTCCACAACTACGCAAATTCTACGGAACAAACGGCGCCAAGAACACAGCCCAAGATTCTTTCACGAGATTGCCATTAACTAAGACGAAACTAGACATTCACAACTGTATAAATTTATAGGCACAAAAACGGTTTACCACAACACACACCAGCGGCGACTCAACCGGGGACTTTGTACACAGGGAGTGGGCTATAAAAATTTGGTCGTTCGTGTGGTACAAAAGACGATACATAGCGGAGGCGAATAGTGTGAGCATCTACTCAAATTCCATTTTGGAAGCATCCGAGCTCGTGTCGGCGGCGACCAAGTCCTTCCCCGGCTTGTGATCTTCCACTGCGTCAACGACCGCGGTCAAATGGGAGGTGACAGGCGTCGCTGACTCCGTGAAGCCGGACATTGTCGATGGAGCGGTCTGATCTGCAACTCGCTGTCTCCGCTTTCTTCTCTTCGCTGCTTTGATGTCAAGAGGGCTACCGATGAGAAGGGTTGCTTCAGTCTTCGCAGTGCTTTCACCTTCTAAGTCTCCTTCTTCGTCCGTTTGTGGAAACATCTGGGGTCCAGCCTCCTTGCCGAGACAAATAAATACTTCATTGGCACAGATAGTAGCAACCACTCGGCGTTGTGGGTGCCAAGCGACTTGCAAAAACTTCCGCTTGTAGTCCAGTTCCCGAAGGCCGGTTAGACCTGTAGCCGAGTTGGATTTGCCATTAAGGTCGGCGACCCGAAATCCTCCGTCTTCATCACTCGCATCGCTATCATCCACGTCCTCGCCCTCATCCTCCTCATCTTGGCGACGAGTTATAGGGAGGGAGGGAAGAAGGATCTGCTTGCGGCGCTTCGACCCAGCTGGAACGGGTACGGACGTAGTCGACGAGTTGTTTGGGGAGGCGAGGGCGTCGATGGACGCGGCGTGCGCCAAGCACACCGACTGGATGTGAAATCGTGCACCCAACTCAGAGTCGGGAGCTATGAAACGCTTCGGCTGGAGGCGGACACGGTAGGGGCGAAGACTCAGGGAAGGAGGGATGTTGCTTTGTTGCGGGGCGTTGGTGGCGGCGAGCGAGGCCGAGTACGTGGCTGATGGCAGAGCTGGTCGCACACCCGGCTCGCCTAGATCATACGCCCAATCGACGCCCTCGAGGCGATCGAATACGCGAAACACGTTGCCGTAGGAGCCCGTGAACACGTAGCTGAAATTGGAGGAAAGGCCCACTTTATCAAGGCTGAAGGCGGATTATCCAAATTTCAAGATCTCCCCCCAGTGGACGCCGAAATGTTACGCTGCAACCACTTGAGGCTAGCTATGTGAAAAACGTTTTGGGAATAGGAAATTCACGTCGACCGGGTCGCTAACATCGAGTAACTGTGACAAAAACCAAGAAACGTCTAGAAGATAAATGCAGCATCGTTATTTCGAGAACATTAGTCGCGTTAGTGCACAATGTGAAAAGGACGCGAGGAACGCACGATCCTTACCGATCATCATCGGACCAGGAGCAGAGAAATTTATCGAAAATAGCGTCGGTCTCGTAGAGCATGCAGAGCTGAGATCGCAGTGGTTCGTGCACGGAGTACGTTTCGCAGGGCTGGTCGCCTTTTCGGATGTCCCAGACTAAAATTGGACAATCGTTTCAAGTGACGAAGAATGAGCAATCAATACGGCATAGGAACCGATTTTAACAAAAATATGTCCAGCTTGGCATAGATGGTGATGTCTGATTCGACGCATTTAGTGTAACCAAGCGCTTAAACTATCAAATAGCACTAGATAGATGTAAAAAGGAAATGTCTTCCACTCATCGCAAACCGATTTCCGGAAGCACTGACGAATTTGAGAAATTTTTAAGGCCAAGTAAACGAGACTTGCCTTTCAGACTGAGGTAGTCCCTCGCAAGTATATAATTCCCTGAATGGTCAAACCGGAAATCAGAAAGACTAGATATAATGTCTCCAAAGAATCCGCGATTCTGGGACAATGTCGGATCATCCAGTACTAAAAGAAAAATCAATAACGCTAGGACTACAAAACCGAGTGCGTTTTAGCTTATGTGGGTAACTAGTGGCAAATTTTGCCGCGGTTTGCCAGATTACATCAAAGGAAGGACGTCTGAACCAGCCAGCCTGGTACGTTGGGGCCAAAATCGTTCGGCCACAAACAAAGAGGATGCCACTTGTATGTGCGGAATTTTCTGAACAAGACCAGCACGTCGCACTCGGTAACGCCGGAGGCTGCAGGGGACGCGTACCAATAGGACAGACTGTAAACTTGTGTGATGTCAGGCCGTTACAGCCAACGAGACAACAGACAAGGCAAAAAAGGCGCCTTTGGTGTAAACAAACGCGTCTCGAGGCCTTTAAAGTACCGAGCAAAAAAAACAGCACGCCATTCACTCGCCAATGCGCGCCAAATGGATGTGGGAAGTGCTTTGACTTAATTCAAAGAGCACCCAACTCAGTCTTTGCCGCCGAATTTAAAGCGGTTTCAACCTATACAGCTCCACACAAGCACCGGCGGAACGCATCTCCCGACTCTAACGCTTAATTTTGTCAACACTTACTAGTAAGAAACAGAGCAGGTTATACATTGATTTACTCCTTGTAACTAAACCGAATGTCTTCAAGGACGAGTTAATTGTACTGTGGACCCGGCAACTGAGTATTTAGCCAATGAGGTTGGTATACAGCATTCTGGGTCTTTACGACTTAAAATCCCCGCAATAGCAAGTATATATTCATGAATGTTGTTGACGCACAACACAGCAAAGTAAATTAACACATTGATTTGCTGTCCCAACAAGTCACAGAGGGTTAGTTCGTACACACATTCGCCATTGTATTGGTGCTAGATGCAGTCAAGCGGTAAAATTAACTAGCACAAGGCTATTTTCGCCTCGGTTAATTAGGGATTAAGTAGTAAATGAAGGCAACAACACGAGGGCATTGGAAATCAGCATCCCACGGAAACACAAACATGTAATTAGTGAATACAGAAAAAAAATTGGCACTTAATAGACTGTTTTGCGTGATTGGCAACAAACCCAATCGACCGCTTCACAATCTTGTAATTTATGAAGCTCTTTTACCTTAAACGATGGACCGCATGGACAGGCCCGCCAAAAACATGGATTTTAAATGGGCAGCTACATTCACCGTCGTAGTGTGCATCATAAGCACAAGTTCATTCCTACGCAAACCACCAGGCGCAAGTCATTTCAATTCGAAATCAGCAAACCCAATCCAGTTAGATTTCGAAAGGCGAAAAAGGCATTCCCACAGTGGAAGAAATGAGAGCGTCACACCAAACACGCAAGCTCAATTAAGGCAAGTGCCAGAAGCCACGCGAGGCATTTTAAACCAGGAAACAGAGGTGTTATTTTAGTAAGCCGGATCCACCAATTAAGGCAGAGCATTAGACCTGGCAGCGGTGACCTTCGTGTGATTATAGCTGACTACGACACGGTTCACTGGCATGACAGAAGCCTGTCCTGTGTAACAATGACACACAGTAACATTCGCAGCACAAGTTCAAAGGAAGCCTCCATTGGTAAACTCTTTTGCACTGGGGCAATGAGCCGAAATAATGTTGATTTACCGCTAGCTGTGATCATTAATTACCAAATTCCATGGGAATAAGTTGGAGTGAAAAAGGCTCGGCACACAGAGCCATCTACCCAGCAGATTTGTCGAAGCAGTTACTAAAACTGCACCGTAAGACAACTAATCACAACGCACGCTAAGCGACCGAATTCCGACTGCAAGGGTGCGCGCATGGGGGTTGTGAAAATGTACTTTCAATTAGCGTTCGCTCTAAATATAACGGTCCCTGTCGAATGATTCCAACGTCTTTTCAACTGCATGAATGCTAATGAATAGCATTTACACAATAAACGCAAGATAACTAAGGGCAAAACAAGATCACGATGACAATTCAGTGAGCACACTTGCAACATAGCTTCAAGGGGCCTTACGTGAACTTGAGTAGGCCTAAGAAGCGCATAGGCTTAGCAAATTACCAAGGAGACAGTTGGAATGTTATTGGAATGTGCAAAACTCAAGCGTTTGATTCTAAGAACAAATAAAGCTGATAAATACAGTATTAACTCACCAAGAACGTAATTATCACAAAGAGCCCTAACACGCATGTCGCAAAGGCGAACAACACCACGACTGGTAGAGTAGCCGAACATGTTGCAGAGCTCCGGGTGGAATCGAGAACAGGTAATCACCTCAGTCAACTCCTCCATGTTCTCTGGTTTTAGATCGACAATAGCTAAAAAATAGTAAATGGTGTAATAAAGCAGAGGGAAAGTGGAGATAGAATAGTGAATTATTCAAAGATAAACAGAAAAAATTAAAAAAACTGAAGGGGGAGGACTTACTGAACGACCGATTGGATATGTCCAGGTGCCACAGATTAATACGAAGATCGTCTGCTGATAAAAATGTCTCCTGATCAGAGTTCACGGAAATGGCGTTAATGTGATAGGTATGGGCATTGGCGTACACCTTGCGAGGTCGAACTTCTATGGTAAGATTTTTTGCCTTTCTGTATCGAGGAATCCTTAGGGAGGCCGAAGATGGATGCCTGATGGTTTGATGATCTCCACTTTCGCCTGTAACATTGTTGAAGTTTCTATGACATGTGGCTTCACCAGCCTCTGTAACTTTCCCGGTGAGTGAAGCTCCCGACAAATTGTCGCTTTCACCGCTGCTTTCGCTCTCGAGATCGTCGGAACGAAAATTAAAATTATAGGCAGACGGAGTCTGTTCCGACATGCGCCACATCTTTATGACTTTGTCTGAAATGAAATTATAATGAAGTTAGAATTTGGCCAAAATGTTACAGGTACTTCTGCAACTCTATTTTATATTCAGTTATTTTCACCTTTGAATAGCCATTTCATGCTTTAACTCTACTCACTTCACTCGTGCATTATGTGATAATAAGGACTGATGTCTTTACATTAAGAAATGACTTGAGGGGACAGACGAATACTTGGGATGGTTAATAAATTCACGTCGAAAGCATTTCGCAAAACGAACCAAAAATTGACACAAATCCGTTAAATGCTATTTGATAAAAAAGGTCAACTCAAAACCACGAGTAACCACCTTGACGACTTACCGTTAGTAGAAAGCAAGTGCAGTGAGTTGTTGACAGGAGGAAGCCAACATATAGCATTGATTTTTTCCTCAATTTCCAAGGATTTTAGGTAATCAAACTCTGGCTCATGACTTGTGAATGCACAAAAGATGTTATAAACCGGGTTCTTCTAGCAGTATATGTAAGGCGAATTGGTGTGATTACCTGGCCAGACGCATTAAAAACGTAAATACGACCTGACTTATCCCCAGCCGCTAGGTATTCACCAGATTCGTCAAATTCCACACAAGTAAACCCATCTACTAAGTGTAACAGTGGAGATATTTGAATCGGTTTACCATCTTTAGCTTCACTGGTGTTACCACCTTTAATTTGACTGACATGCCACTTAAGTGGTTCTAAAAAGCATAAAAGGTATTAAGTTTGAAAAGGTTGTACCGCACGAGCCCCCAGCCATCAGCGAAATAGGAAATGAAGTATTCAAGTAAGCCTGTGAGATCGAAATTCAGAATAGGAGCGACACTGGCTAGAGTTCCTATTCTCATCAATTCAAAGTTTCCGCCTCCCTTGTCAAATCTTTAAAAATTCAGTTTGTAGGACAATTTTTTACTACTGTTCCATTGTTATAAAAATATTCAGTTTACTATAATAATATTGCCTAAAAAATTATATAGGAATGGCTATTAATATTAAAAAATTCTAAATTTTTAATAAGGGACATTTACCTAAAGGCTGTGCGTTTTATTAATTATACTTAAAGGGAGACTATAAGCAACATTTATACAAGTAGTCCCTTTTTTTAACAGTTAGCTCTGGAACTCACAGTTGATTTTGGACTGGCGGAATTTAATGAAAAGTGACTATAATGATACAGAAAATAAAGCGCTAAATAGCAAGTGACCATCATCAGGTATGAGTGAATCCAGTTTCATGGCATTAAGCTCTTTGCTTTAGTGGAAGTGGAAAACACGCAGAATAATTTTACGTTATTCGTTGTTAGCGAATCATTGAAATATTTCAGACTGCAATTTCTATTATGTTCAGTGCAATGCGGTTATTCAGAGGTCATTTTCTTGTACCTGCAAAATCATTTTCCAAAGCATATAAGATTGAAAATGCCTATCAAACATCATCAATTTTAATTTTTGGATTTTTTGAGAGAAAATAAAAGATTTACAACTCACTAGTTTTGTTTGTATGAATACAGGATACGCAATCGATCGAATCCAAATCCTGTTTACCTTTCTTTACATGCGTTAAATAGTTTAGTGATGCAAAGGAACCTTTTTGTTTTTTAGCTTGCCTAGTTTATAGTATCGCAGGGACCAATAATTACTTGAAAAAATTTGTCGTTATTGAAACACTATATGGGGCTGAAAGGACTAGTTATTATTTGAGAATCATACTGATGAGGGCATAATCTAATCCGCAACGAAACGTCAATTTAATTAATAATCTAAGATCTAGTATATGTCGTAAAAGGATTTTTACGATCATGGAAAAAACTTAAATCGATGTATTAGGACCTAATCTGGCTTAAAAATACGGGTTTGTGCTATACAATTAAAGCCAACTCAAAGCTGCTTAAGGCAGACTGAGGATGAAGGAAAGTTTTGGGTTTCTGTAAGGGCCCTGACTGCAGCCGCTAACTACAATTGCCTACTAATCACCCAGATACCCAAGAAGACAAGAAAGCTAGAGTGCGAGGTGTTAACAATTTGCTTCATAGTCAGAACTGGCTCCACCTAATAGTGTATGTCACGGTCGTGCGTGCATGCAAGTATTACTGACAAATACAATTCAGGTGACCTAGATTCCTAACAGTGGCGCAAGCGCTAGGGAATGCAGGAACTGTTAAAGTACGTTAATCACAAAGAATCCCTTTAGTTTCTTTTTGCCCAAAATCAATATTTTACGATTATGGCAATATGATCTCTCTGCTACGGTAGTCGAATTCATGGATAATTGCCGATACTAGACAATTTTATTGCTTACTGTCTGATGATAAAGTTGAGTGGCGCATTTAAGAGCACAAAAATTTCCCATGTCTAACTTTTAATGAAAACAGGTCTAAATATTGCATTTGGATTTGAAAATATTGAACTTACATTATTTGAATCCTTTTTTTGTACAAGACCTGCGGTTGAAAATAAGTGTTTATAAGCAAATAGGAATTGTAGTATTTGCAGGACACTAATAAACGGATACTGATGCACCCGCAAGTTATACTATAAAAGCTAGTCTCAATTAGGAATGGAAGGTTTTAGAGAATGCAGAAGGACCATTTATCCCCATATTAATATTATTTAATTATTACAACCACTCTGACAGAATGTAGACATGTCGATTTACGGGTTATGGCCAATGACAACCTCTTTTGGCATAACATCTAAAACGTTTCGGCACTAGGCAACGAGATAGATTAAATAATTTACTACAAAATGGATGCCAAATACCAGCTGGTGCTAAAAATGAATCGACTAGAAAAGTGTCGTTGAATACCCGATCCCTAATAGGAAGAAGACTGGTACAACAGAACAGGCTTCATTGGCCAAATACAAGCCAGAACTAAACATCAGGCGCCTTCCATCCGAGTCCACCACGCTGGCCAAGCTGCTTATTATATTCTGTTATCATTCGTGTCATTCTCCGGTTTACTATCTTCCTTCCGCGCATGCCATTAAATCGCAGAAAGACAGAGGATTGGCTGAGGCAAGCGTGGCACAGTATGTCTGCGCCCTGATCTGTCGCCACTGTAGAATACCCGAGCCCTAATAGGAAAAAGACCGGTACAAAAGAACAGACATTATTGACCAATCAGAAGCCAGAGCCACGCGTCTGGTGCCTTCCATCCGAGTCCGCTACGCTGGCCACGCCGCTCATTATATACTGCATCTCATCCATGTCCTTCTCTGGTTGGCTGCCTTCCTTTTCCGCATGCCATTGGATCGCAGAGAGACACGGTATTGGCTGAGGTCAGGTGGTCCAACATGTCTGCGCCCTAATCCGACGCCGCACCACACCATACAACATTACACTACAACACATCGCTGCTCACTAAATACTACACCTAGTTCGCGTCTCTCTGGTTAGCTGTTTATCTTCCTCGTATGCCATTGGATCGCAGAGAGACAGAGGATTGGCTGAGGACAGCGTGGACCAACATGTCTGCGCCCCTAGACGACGCCAAAGTGCTATAAATTTTCGATTCAGCTTCTTGATATCCTCTTTAATTCTTCCGGCTTTTTCTTCTTTTAATAGATTTAATCGCCACCTTCTTTTAAGAAATTACGGCACATAAATACTTTATTTTGCATAACGACCGAATAATTTTGGTCGCTAACTTTTTATGAGCTTTTGATGTGGCCCATTCTGGACTATTTCGTTTCGTGCATGGGTCTGACTTGAACCATATTTTAATTTTTTTAACGCGATTAATGTTTTTGATGGCGCCCCCTGTTTTCTGCTGATATCCTTCTAAGCTACAACACTACTAAGTTCATTAATTCATTTTTGTGGTTTATTCCCGCGTATTAGTAGGTGAAACTTGTGATGATGTGTTTACTCATGTATTTTGATGCACGTCAGCACAAAAACTCAGATTACTAATGACGAAGTAATCGTACTAAAGTCTATTATTAGGTTTCGCTTTGAATATCTGATATATTTGTGGCAAATATATCGGTCAAAAGCCATATTAAAAAGCGACTTGGGTGTACTATCATTGAATTAAGCTTATCTGTTTGGTTTTAAGCTGTTTTTTTTTAAATTTTCAACAGTTAGACGTAGATGTAGGCAACAAACTTTAGTTATGTCACTTTTTTAAGTCAATACAAATTGAGTGTAGATCCTTACTGCCTTTTACGTCACTGTTATTTGTCTACATTGTAGCGACCCTTTGTAAGTTCCTGGTTTTGCTCCAAAACTCATTGTCTGTGAGAGGTTCACTTCTACCCGGTTTTGGTAAACCACTAATTTTTGATCTCGGACTTTTTTTCCAACTGTCATGACGATGAGGTGAATTACTTACTTTAATGATTAATTTTATTTTAGCACAAATATTCTCTCCTACTACATATTTATAGTTCGCTGTGCGAGATCTTCATCTACATTTTGTGCCATCTTTACGCATACCTTTTATGTGGTTTTGATTCCTGTTGCTTCGTAATTTTCGCCCTTACTTTGTGGAGACGATTCATATTAATAGTTGTACTTTTTCTTTGATCTTTTTGCATAACTTTTTTATATTGCCCAGATGTCCAATATTATTTTGCATTTTGCTGTACTCGGTTCTGGCTAATTTCTTGTTAATACTTCATTTCGATTACTTTTAGATTTTGAATGGCATTACTTGGCATATTTCTCTGTCTTTGGATATTCGGCCTGATAATGTTTGTGCTTGCATTATTGCAAAAGAGGCGTTACCTAAAGAAACAGCTGTCCCGGCAGCACAAACTATCATCGAATCCCATACTCCTTTCGTTTTTCCACCCTTACTGCAACTCGGGCGGAGGTGGCGAACGCGTTCTCTGGGTCGGTATTAGTACTCTTCTTCAGCATCACCAAAACCTCCTCATCTTCATCTACACCAATGATTCTGAATGCCTCAAAGCCCCAAAGACTGTATTCTCGCGTATCAAAAATACCTTCGATATTAGTATTGAGGACTATTCGAGGGTCAAATTTATTCCTCTCTACTCAGAAGTTCTTCTCCGACCCGTCTTGTATCCCTGTTTAACTCTTGTCGGTCAAGCCATTGGATCTGTCATTGCGGCCTTGGAAGCCGTCGCACGGCTTCCGTGTGATGTGTTTCTTGACACGACTGGCTTCGCTTTCTCCATCCCTATTTTCTCCTGGCTCATCGGTGCGTCGTGTGGCGCTTACGTCCACTTTCCAACGGTGTCCTCGGACATGGAAAAACGTTTGATCTCAAGAGAGCCCGACGACGCCACGAGTTATAACAATTCAGAGCGTATTCGTAGGAGTTTGGTTCTCACGACGTTGAAGCGTTTGTACTATGCGCTATTTAAAATAGCCTATGGTTGGGTGGGATCTAGTACAAACTGCAGACAAGTTGCTGTAAACTCCTCGTGGACCCTACGACACATCGCTGCCCTGTTTGGAAGTCTACCTTTTCTGCTCTATCCCCCTTGTCCGTGCCTAACAACAGACGGTGGAAATGGAAGACAACGCAAGCCCTGGATTATCTCTATCGGACAGTTCAGGCCCGAAAAAAACCACCAGTTAAGTGACCAATAAACTCTCTCAATCCCTCGGTAGGGCCACTGAGAGCACTCCTATTGTTTTTATGCGTTTGTGTTAAGTGACGTCTTTTAGACCCTACTCGTTTTGTTGTATGTTGGCAATTTGCAGAATAGACAATGAGTAAGCAATGTTATAAAGCCATCTCAAAATTTCGAATTTGTCGTCATGTTTTGTTTTTTTTATTACATGCGGTACCTGTGAAATTCTCCTCGTAGTTCAAGACTGTCCTAAAGCACTCACCTTTGATTTCAAGCGCATGAAACCCAATCTATGATAGATGCAGAGGAATCAACCCAACATCACGCACCTTCCTGGAAATCCACATTTATACCTATCTCTTACCTCTTACAGCTTCAGCTAAAGGCCTTTGAGCTCTTTCTCAAGAAAATTGTCGGCAATAAGACCCCATACCGCCTGATTTTAATCGGTGGTTGCCGTAATTACGACGACTTTAACAGAGTTCGGAGCCTCAGGGAGACAGTCGCGAAAATGGGTCTCACGGAGTGGCAGGTCACTTTCGAGGTGAATGCCTCCACAGCCAAAGTGAAACGCTACCTCCGCGAGGCGACTGTCAACCTCCACACCATGGTCGATGAGCACTTTGGAATCGGTAGGCTCTCATTTTAGAAGCAGTCTGCTCGACTGTTTGGGGAAGTCTTTGCAGAATCCACTCTAAACATCAGAAACTCATGTCGGTGTTGAAATACTAGCTGACGTAGGTATGAGGTGCTCTGTAGAAATCCAGTCACCCAGCAACCGTGATCTAAACCTTCGTCTTATTTCGGGCTAGAAATCTTGAATTGGGGATTTTGTATGAATTTTAAGTCTAACATTGAGACCGCGTTTCGATTCTTGGCTTTGAGTGTTTTTCTCGTAATGGTTACCGACCTCTCACTTCGTAAATCTCTGTTTTTTTAATTTTCTACATCGTTTGTAATTCATCCTTGACAAGAACACTTGTTTTGTAAAGTATTGATTCTGTTGACCTTCTTAATCGTGATAACTACATAAGCATGGGAAACAGTTCGTTAGGCGCTTCACTACGCCCAAACGGCCTCTCTCGTTTGCTATGCACTATTGAAACTTCGTCAAGTAACCAACCAGTCTTGTGTCAGGAATCGTCGAGGGCATGGCGTCGGGTCTCGTGACGGTGGCCAACAGGTCAGGGGGACCGCTAACCGACATCATTGGTCCTGTGCAGGGCCAGCTGAATTCCGACCCGAGCAAGGCCAGGCCCACACCCGTGGGCTACCTAGCCTCGACGGCGGAGGAGTACGCGGACACTCTCTTCTATGTGCTGGTGAAAGCGACGCCCCGTCAGCTGGACCCCCTGCGAGCAGCTGCGAAGGCTCGCGCCGAAGACCTCTTCTCTGAGGAGGCCTTTTCAAACGGGTGGCTCCAGTTTACGCGGAGGTTGGGACTTTAGTCACCGCCTCCGGCTCTGCCCTCTTTTCTATGCGTGATCTCAACCATAGCAGTTGCGTTCTTTTTTTTCTACAAAACAGATTGATAAAGGCTTTTTCATATGGTTATAATGGCTGTGGTGAATCAAGTTGACAGTAATAATAAAAATATCATGGCTCTGCGATCTTGTTTTTTTTACTCAATTTCTTGAAGCGGTCAATTGAGTGTTCTCTAACGTGGTTTGAGACCGCTGCTCAGATTTCGGACAGTTATGCATGTGGTAGCAGTAGTCGTCAGAAAATCAGTGGATTAGTGAGGTTCCTTCTCGTTCTCTGGATGTGTCATACCGGTCGCCAGTTCACGCCATCCCCCTAACGATGGTACTGCATTTGGCAAAATCAATCCCTTTAGTAACGACTGATTAGAGCCCTTGACTGTGTGAGTCTGAAACCCTTTACTCGTCTTGCTGGTTTGTTTCACTCCGAACTCGAGTCCCCTCGAACTTCACTCTTAGGCCTCAGCTGCTTCCACAAATCCCGAGGATTTATCTGATGCTTCTTAGAATGGTGAAACACATAAACACCCATCTGAGGTGTTTTGTGGGCTGGCGTAGGACCGTAAAAGGGTGATGTGATGTTGTCTTGGACCCTGGCCTGTTCTCAGTGCCAAATAATTTCGGGTGGGGCAAATTCCCCGCATAATTACACTTAATTTCGCGCTCCAATTAAATGGGGCGTGCACGTGTAGTCACCCCACACCACCACCACTCAGTCGCTTGAGTGCGTCGCAAGATGTTGAAAAGCAGTGTTCAAAGGTGAAGAGACACGACCGTTTGTTCAACTCTGTGTGACTACTACTAAACGATGGCTTAACGAGCAGTGCTACGAGGTAAACCTCGCTCTCAAAGCAATTCAAAACATGAGTGGAGCTAATCGAACGTGGACGGCCACTTGTCAAAGCCGTCTACATCTACACTTCGTCACAGCAGTTATGTAGTGCAAGACGTGTCGAAATTAGGGTCTGTAGTGGGTCGTTCCTTGGACTGACGCAGACACGATGGGACTGCTAATGATTGCAAGAATTATCAAATTTATTACAGTGTTGAAGGGTACCTCGCCAATGATATCGATGGAATCGAATTTGGGGTCGACAAATCTGCCGTAATTGGATAACCAGCTGTATTTCTATGTAGACAAACACTTATTCATCTAAGCCCCACTTATAAATAATTGGTTAGACCCATGACCTTCGAATGCCATCAGGAAAGAAACATGCAGGTTTTGAGGCAGTTAAGTCATCATCGACGAGTTTGCGCACATCGTTTAGCTCTTTTAAGCGGCTTATCAACTAAGGCGTGCTGTTGGTGCATTGACCTCAACAAACGGTAGTCGAAGGGGCCAAGACTGATAAGTACTTCGCGTGTGGGAGTCGTGTGAGTGTTTTCACGCAGCAGTATTACGATTTGCCTGCTTCCTCGATCAGCAAATTGCCTTTCCAGATCAAGTTCTTTGCTCAGTTTGTTAAACTGTCTGCTGTGTCGCGTTGCGGAGACACCGTCTGACGACCAGTTCGTAGTGAAGCACACCCTTCATGTCCCACCAGACATACAGGGGAATCTTCGTCAAGTACATGTCTCGTTTCATCGTCGATTTACTGGGTTGATCGGGATCTACCCACGACCCTTTACGTTTGGGATTCTCGTAAAAAACAACCATCACAACTGTTCACGGGAGGTTCTTTTATGTTGCCGGCGGGCAATCCGTGGAAGGCCTGTGGTCATCCGCTGACCTAGGTAGTGTTCGATCAACACACATGACACCCGACTTCTAAGTTTTTGACTTTTCCCATTTGGTCGTGCAGACGCTTGGAAATAGCTGCCTGGTTGACCCCTAACTGAGCCACAAGCTCCTGCTGCGTTTGCTTTGAGTCTTCATCCGGCAGGGCTTGCAAATCCGCATCTTCACACTTTCGAGGCTGCTGTCCGGCATGGGGCTGGTCAATAAGATCGAAATGACCACTTCTGAAACGTTTTTACCAATAACTACACGTTTCATAAGACATAATATCGACATCACCAAGAACACAAAAAAGTTGGTTCCCGTGCTTTAGATGCGTTTTTTCGTTGTTGGAATTCGTATGAAATTCAGTGCCATAGAATGTGCTGTCTATCGCTTGCCGTCGTGGTAATCTCTGCTATTGTGAGAGGTGATGTAACCCACGTTGACTTTTAGCTCGTTGTTCTGAAACCTAGCATTCGATCCTTCCAAAACCGCAACAAACCGCGAAAATATTTCTAATTGAAATACGCATTTAGACTCGCTGGACCAATCTGTACAAATTAAGTCATACACCAATTATTTTTCTAATAAACGCAAGCCTTCCGGCATAGTTTAATGTTGATTTCAAGATGTAAAGAACCTGCAGTTGGTGTTGCAAATTAATTTCAGGCTCCCACTGATTGACTCATTGCTCTGTAATCAACAAATCAAATCCAACATTTGACGCAACATCGTTTGCCACTTTGGTGCCAGTATAAAGACCAGCACACCTCGCATAAGAAAATTCAATTGGTCAGAAATGACAAGATAAAATCGGTGAGTCATTTTTATGCAATCGTTGAACCCAGCGTAATGATCCTTGAGATTCATTCATCGATCTAGATTCTCACAAATACCTGTAAGAGAATGAATTTACAAGAAAACTGTGAGCTGTTTCCTTGTCTAGACGTTGTTAGGTCTGCCACGAGACGCCTATAATCAGCGCCAATTGTTTAGTGAGCATCTACCTTATTTTCTACTTTTAAGTCGGAAATAAACACGAAACGACCGTTACTTGACCGACTTGCAATGTTTTTTTAGGAAAGGAAGGCATAATGCTCGTGAATTTCAATAACTTCGGTGATATTTACCAGTAGACTTAGGTCGACTTCGTACAACTATAGGAGTGCATCTATTCCTTGATTTACGCATGCGAATAGTCCAACATGACGTCGAATTCAAATTTGGATATTTTATTTTTTTTTGAAACTGGCAAATCTTTATTAATGTAGAGACAGAGAGGGGGAGAGCGTGGAATTAACACATTGAAGACATGTCGCTGTGTGTATTATCAAGATCGCCACCCACAATTATCGATCATTGTAGTCGCCATGAGAGGGAAATTACGAAGTATCATTTGAGTCTGTTCGTTCCAGATGCACAAACAACTTGAGGATGGTCATGGCGTAGGGCTTCGGTAGATTACCAGGACATTTTTCACAATGTTAAGTGTTATCCACGCTAAGTGCCATCAATTAGCGTGTTATCGGTGTTGAAAGCATACAACTGCAATGACAGCTTCTCAGCGTGCTACCAGTCATTTGAAAAAAAAACACCTGAGCTCCCTTCTGGCTGTGCATGCATGATTTTCAATTTGTTATGCAGTAATTCTAACCCAGCACTAATCCTAAAAAGATGCCTTCTTTCGGTGTTATCGCTTGAAATTTGACCCGCTCTATATCGATCGCTTTCCCACGATCATGAACGCGACACCAGAGAGCTGTAGATTTTTCATTGTGTGGCGCGCACCAACGAAAACCTAGAATCTCGTCTTAGCAAACTAGGAACGGCCCAGATTCAATTCACTTTCCTGTGGCAAAGCTATCGCCAGTCACTTCGAAGTAGCCCAAAAAAGCGTTTACATTTTTGCAAATAGAAACGGCTTGCACACACTTCAGCATCGAACTAATCTGAACCCAAGCACTTGTGGAAAAGGTATATTGTGTAAACTGGAATCAAAATACGCATAAAATACATCAGCCCCATCAGTTAGGTCCTTGCCGAATGCTCCAACCTAAGGCTTGATGCCCTTAGAGCCAAATCAAGCTATCACTCTAGGTAGACGGTTGCCAGTGCAACGAAGAAGCTCAAACTGATGAATTAGGCTGTGGACGAGCCAGACAGTTAGTCTCGCGAAGCGGCAGACAGACGCGCATGACCGTTAGAGCCCGGCACGTCTCCCGGTGGGTTTGTTACTGGACCCAAGTGGTCGCCACTATTTCACGATAACGACTTGACTGAGCGAGTTCGCTATTAATTGACAAGAAGTTGTCTCGACAACTCAGGAAGAGACATAATACCATTGAACCAAAGTCCACATCAAACAATCGCTTTTATTGAATGAAGCAAGGCATGCAATGTGTCAACGAAAGAAGAGGCGGGGGGAGGGGAGGGGCAGGCAGAAGGTTCTTAAAAGACGGTTAGAAGGGCAAACACGGCGTAGACGAGAGCGCAGGGATAGCCAACGAGGAATTGCTGTTTCTGCATGTTCAGGGCGCGGACAAACAGCTTACTCGACGACATCGCACTCCAGAGGACTATGAAAGTCGTCAGAACCACACCAACTATCGATCTAGGAAGAAAATTGGTTCAACTCTAAGATCACATGAAGAAAAAACACGCCAACGACAGACAATGGTACACCCCCACGAAAAGCATTTTGACACCAGCGAGTTGGATCGAACAAGAAGACCTTAACGGTGCCAGGAATGGCAAAAACCAGTAGTTCCGCCACGCACACAACTTAAATTCCAAACAACCACCTGCTTGAGTGCCGCTGAGAACTCACTCGAGAGAGAAGACTATGCCAATGGTTGAAAGGAGACACATTGGCAGCATGCAGTAGCCGAGAACGGAGACTACACAGGTCGGAGCTACGCCGTCGGGCGTCATTAGGGAGAGGAGGATGTACATTCCCAAGCAACCGAGCAAACCGATGCCGTAGATGTAATTGAAGTGCACCTTCCCAGCCTAAGAAAGGAGTGGATGGTCAAACCAACTGGGCACACGCCGCTTGGTGCCTAAGATTAGAGGATCGGTCCTTAAAGCAAGGGGCTAGGGCCAATAGATGTACACTGTTACTCGTTTTTAATACAATACCAACCAGATGTTTGTAATATACCCTGGATTGGAGGAGGGCTATTCAATAAAAATGGGGATGACTAAGGTTATCTTTAAGTGTTGAATACTAGACTGCATGAGCTGTACATTACCACATACTTTCGAACCCACAGGGATCTCGCCTTTTTGACCACGAAAGACGTGAGGTTTTACTAAAAGACGACTGTTTTTTGCCAAAATCCTAAGGCGAAACGTGTTGTCGAGAAGCTGACCCCGATAGCTTGGCATTTAACAGGATTAGAACAATTCACGCCAGCTTACCAGGAGGAGTGTCCCACCAAATATCAGGCAAAATACCAGTGGGCCAGCGAGGTCCGTATCTTCGAGCACTTCCAGAGGGCTTTCGCGCATCGGGTTAAGCACGTTTAGCGTCTGCGAAGGCAAAAATGGCGTCTTTTAGGGCAAATCAACTCCCCAACTCCCACCAATTAACTTATCAATTGCATTAAGGAGCACAAGAAGTAGAATCACACTAACACTAAAGTCAAAAAAACCCATCCAGAATGACATCATTAGTCAGGATGTGAAAATAACAGCCAATGGAGTACTCCCCTCAACTATTGGACGGCCGACGACACTTAACCAGTGGCGTCCGAGATCTCCGACAGCCAATCAGATGGCAGTGGGCGACGTTTCGGAGCTCAACTCTCATATCACACTCAAATTAGCCCTGGAATAATGGGGAGTTTACTTCTGTTGTTGCTAGTACTAAGTTGGACTGTCTTCAGCCTCAGGTGTCCACCCCCACCGACAGCCGGTTTATTCGCCTGCCGGAATCGAAGCCTGCGCGAGGTTCCACTGCCCGTGGGCGCACCCACTAAAAGCCGTCTGGCCATAACCGCACTCGATGTTTCCGACAACGCAATAGAAATCCTGCACAAGGACGCCCTCAGGCCCTATCCCGCCCTAACCAGCCTCTGGGTGGAACGCAACGTCCTCTGGAAGATCACCGACCTCGCATTCCACTCGGTGCCCGGCCTGGAGAGCCTTCTACTTCGTGGGAACCGACTTGTTATACAGCCCGGAAGCCTCTCGCCCCTGGCGCTGTTGAAGTTGAAGCACCTGAAAAAACTGGATCTCTCCGACAACCCCTTGGGGCTAATACCCACACGGTTTTTCGCGCCTTCGCTTATCGAGGTGCGGCTAGAACGAACGATTCCCGGACTCGTCATCAAGCAGCAGGCCTTCTCGGGGCTACACAAGTTGCGGGTGCTGAGTCTGGCAGACAACCGATTCGAATCCCTGCCTGCACACCTGAGCGAGGAATTGGGCGGTCTGAAAAACCTACAACGCCTGCATTTACATGGAAACAGGTGGAACTGTGATTGCCACCTGGCATGGCTCGGCAGGTTAGCGCGAAGACTCAATGAAACCACGTCGTGCCATAAACCCGCAGCCCTACAAAATCGAGTCATGTCGAATTTGCCGCCGAGGGAGTTTCAGTGTGCACCTTCGGCTCTGAATAAAAACGCCACCACCAATCGCATCAACGAAGTTGAAACCGGCGCGACAGTCACAATGGTGTGCAACTTCTACGCCGAACCCAGAGGACGCATCACGTGGTACCGGGGTGACCAGGTGCTTGGGCAGGCGGCCCACGAGACCATGGTGACAGACACGATCGTTCAAACCAACCTCACTCTCACGGACGTGAGAGTTGGTCACGACGACGGACTCTATCGATGCGAGGCAGAGAACGCGAGAGGCAAGGACTCAATCCTGTTCCGCATTAAAGTCGGGTACTTTAGAGCGGAGAGCAGGCGATTAATTCGCGTGTCGGGAGTGATGCTGAGCGCTAGCGTTGGTGGAGGCGTGCTCCTCGTAAGTCTGACGCTCATCAGCATTCTGGTGTACTGCTACCAAAAGGACAAAACCGAACACCGACCACGTCAGGCGGTGGCTGGTGGGAAGTGCGAAAGCGAACCCGCAGCAGCGGAGTGGGAGCAGCAACGCGCCTTGCCACTGGGGAGGTTCACTGACGCAGCAGGTACACAACTGTTGTCCTGTGATTATTTAACGCAAATTTACAAGTAGGGACGTACACCACGCCTAGACAACAACAACAACTGAGGCTTAAGTAAATTGTAGCTGGGTCATAGGGTTAAGAGATCAGCCACAAGTCAACGTGGTCGACTCATTCGATGAAACACGGAGCCTCAAAATAGCGTTTTATTTTCTACTGCAGGAAATTTGCCGATGGTGGCCACGGGGACTGGAGGCGTACGCCAAGCTGACGCGGCGCATTACCAAACTGTCTCGACGGAGGCTTGATTGGCGAGAGAAAAGCAAATGAAAGCAACAAAACACACACACACTCGAAAACACACAATACACAACCATTTGCCTGGTGTTTTGTTTTGCCCGAGTCCATTAAGACCGCATCAATCGGGAGGGGAGGAGGTTAAAAACAACACAGCTTGGGGAAATTAAAGCGAGAATTAAGAGCAAAGTACAGTGGGAAACGGGGGGAGGAGGAGGAGGAGGAGGGTGAAAGTGACCAGCTAACACACCTGGCCAACTTGAATCACACTAGCGCCAGCGGTCTGCTTAAATTCACATCAGCACTTTCACACAACAACGGAAATTCGCATGCTGCATCTACCGACCGAGGTGATCTCCCCCAGGTTTGGAAATTCCAGTAGCGTTTACAACAACAACTAATTAATAGAGGACGAAGTCATTGAGAGGAATCAATGAGGGGAGACACGAGGTTCATTACAGTCACCCGATGATCGATGAGGGGAACAGGGCGTCAGATTTTGGCGATCAGCACTTCCCTTCGCAGAGTATGAGCCATACAGCCAACAGAATTACAAGAGTAGAAACCCGTTTAATTGAAGCTGTTAGATATCACAAGTGCCCCCTACACAAACGCGCTCTCACGTGGCGACACATCGTGCCTGGGACTGGTGAGTAATCACCTACATCCACCCGATCCTGTCATTGAAAAGCACCACTGTAGTGCAGCCTAACCAATGACACAGACAGTGAATCCACCAATGTTGAAGCCGCAACCAAACGGCCTTATAATGCATCGATTTAATTCATGTCTTAGTATAGATTGACTAGGCAGTTGAGTTGGAATGGTGATCACCAAGAGTCCCGTTTTCACCTGAGTAGAATGAAAACGGAAATGAAGGCGTTCGTTGAATGCGATATTGGGTATGTCAAAGAAGCCTCGCCGTATGCCTGTTCCATAACGCGAGGGACAGGCATATCGCCCGAAATGTTATAGGTCAACGTCTTCCGGTGTCTGGTTGGCTGTCTCAGAGCTCTGGATCAATGATTGACGCACACGTATCACTTTGACGTAGTCGACCACGACGACAAATTTTAGGAGCTCTCAGCTGTCCAAAATGGGGCATCGTTTCACGCGGTTACAGACATTATGCTACAGGCGATTTGAAACACCTGGATTAGACCCGGATTTTGTGTGCTGGCAACGGAAGTCCAGTAGTACAGCACACAAGAATTCACCACAAAACCTCACTGATTTGAATGCCACGAAACCCCAAGCATAAACTGGGTCAGGGGACCAACGAAATGCAGGAAGCAAGATATTCTTAGTTGAAATTGACAACGAATTTTGGTGGTTGCCAACAGTATGCCTGTCATTCTATTAGTTACGGCTGTGGGAGCAACAGTAACAAGCCTTCTAGCAAGACAGAGGCTTAAAAGTGGCTACGCAATCATCTTGATTACAGTCGAGTGCAATGACAAGCGGTGGATGAGGGTTAGGTGATTTGCATAGAGCAAATTGGGGAGGTCTCAAGATGGGGCAACAGCGGCGTTCGCCTTAGGCTATGAGTCGTAAGAGACTTCTCCGTGCCGCTAGCGGTGAATTTAAATACTGGCTGCCCGGGTTTAAACCTTTTCGACATTTTAATTTACTTGAAATATAGTTGTAAAGACTCAAACAAGCATATCCACATTGTGGAACAACCCTAGACCCAATTTGCAGCATGCTTCTGAGATGGAATTTAATCTTAAATAGCGTCGAAGGGTTAGGTTTTTGAGCGTGTCACCGCGAACAGCGAGCGAAAGCTCTTGCGAACGCCAACAGACTAAAAGGCTGCACATTGATGCGAAGGCGGTGTGGAGTGAACCACCCTGGCTGAGAGGGGATAACTAGGTACTTTTGCAAAACAATAATAGCTACTGAAAATGTGACAGTAGTACGAAATCACCAAACACAGGAAAGACCTGCAAAAAAGTATAGCCTGTGCGTACCTTTTGGACGATGTGACTGAAGTTCACGCCCAATTCTAAAGAAGAAAGGTGATTTGAATAAACAACACGCAGTTTTATTACACACACACAACACTTACTGAAACAGAAGTCATTGTTAACATGATCCCTACCAAAGAGTGAGATAGCAGGATTGCAACACAAACTTTAAATTTTCAAAATCTAACGGCTAATTAGTAACAAAGGCTTTAAATCTACAGCATGATTTCATAGTTTAAATATAAGAGTGTACAGTAGGGACTAGACCCCAGTAGTCCCTACAAAAATCGCATTACTAAGTTAAAAATTAGTAGGGTCACTTCGACTCCCAATATTATCCACAGCGCAACGCAAATATTAATTTTACTAGCTTATTTTGCGGTTGTGATATCCAATAACCGTGGGGAAAGTCATTTATAACCAAATAAAACAGGGTACTAAAGCAAATTATGGCATTAAATATTGCAATATGGGCGTATCTGTAGCAAGTTAGATTCATTATCCATGGCAACAAAAAGAGGCGTTATTGGTTAAGATAGTACGGGTATAAAATTGTCAGATATAAAAATACACCGAAAACGCGCATATTTAGAGAAAGCAAGCGGAATACAAGAGACGTGCGATCTACATGGCGGCTGGGACAATTGAAGGATGCTGAGAATTCAATATAATATGCAGAAAGTGACCAAACTAGAAAAGGATTTTGAACTATAAAAAATGCGCTATTGCTTGAACGAAGATAAAAAGATAAAAAACTAGATTAAATCAAACAGCTTACCTTCTAAAAGCGGTGGTTCATCATCGAAATTAAACTGGCCTGTCATGGTTCCGTCAACGGGAGCAGGAGTGAAGTAGGGAACTTGTGATGGCTGTTGTGAATGTTGGGGGTACTGTGAGGCTTGACCGTTGCCATAGTTGAACTGGGAAAATTGTCTATGTTAGAAAAATGCGCAAATACAAGCTATACAAACACAAAGACAATGTGACGATTTGTCAATAACAGATATATAGGAAATAATCCAAGCGAAATAAAAAAAATGCCCTACATGAATACTGAACAGTCTGAATTTCCATGAAACAGACTGTTCATAAGTTGACACACATATGATTATAATCAACACACGTGGTCGGGAAACAGTTACGGTAGATGGAAAATAATAGTTTGGGAACTTTATCACATTACGAGGCACCGATGCGTGTTGTAAAAGTGTGGTACACGACCAGCAGCCTTAACACTTAGGCATCCACCTCAAGAATTTTGTTAACTGCGGAACAAATGTACTTATTGCATGGGTTTTCAGTTCGTATCCAAAAAAAATAGTAATCTGAATGACATTTTCAACTAAATAACACCAAATGTTGGTAAAATTAAAAAAATAGAGCTAATGAAGTTGACTAGTCGAAAATGCATGGCTGGGTTTGAGAATAGAACAAAAAGCTACCTTTTAAAAGTTACACAAGCAAATCAAATTTGACTCACACGTTACCAGGTTCAAAATAGCCTGTATTGTAATTCTGAGGCTGTGAGTAAAAGTAAGGTTGGGAATTCATTGATTGCTTTAACGAAAAACGTAAAACAGGCCACCTGGCTCTAATGAGTGCACACCGGCGACTGTGATTGGTTGCGACAACCGAAAGGTGTTGGGGGCTACCTATAAAAGATTATGCCTCAAAGGTAATGGTTAATAGAGCTAATAAAATAACTTTACGTTTGATTCATTTCAGTGCCAAAAAAACAGAAACTAATAAATTGAGGAATTATATTCAACAGTCAAGTAGGGTTATGTAGCAAAATATGTGGTATTTGTACAAACAAAAGGAACAATACTATGTCCGAATGAGTCAAAATGAAAGACCTACAAATCGCAACGTTAAAATAAGTTTTTGCCGGTTTGGATGCCAATTAGTTATTAGTTTAGCTATTATTGATTCTCTTAATACAAATCTAAATGTATAACGTAACCACATCATTATCAACCAGTTACACGGTAGTGCTGAAACTCGAGTACTTTGTAAGTGGATACGCTAACATGGGAATATTTGAAAAAAGGTTATTAAATCTTGATTTACTTGAAGCCAACCTTGACGCCCTTTTGACATAACTTTTTGGAAAACATCCCGGTCTGTCCATGGACTTTTATCTCAGGAATTTTAATCCAATACGTGATATTATAATTTAGGGAAACCGAAGAGATAAACTTAAGATGAAATGACTTTTTCGAGAAATTTTCCTTTAACTTTTTTATAGTTATTTGACTTTACCACTAACATCAGGGGGGCTTTTTACATTTGGGAATCCAACGATGAGTGCAACTAAGCATTATCCAAATTGGAGAAAAAATATTTTTTTGGGTTCTGATGTTTTTATGAACTGTATATCTAATGCATGCAACTAAAAGTTGCAATAATGTCATTGCAGCGTTTATAATTCTCCAAATTTTTAAGTGAACAAATGGATAAGTCCTCAATTACACGAAGCCTAAAATCTCCTTTATGTCTATAATCATTAGTTTTTCGGTCATCAAGAAATCTTACTAGCAAGTCTATTGGACTCATTGAGAACACGGTTTATTTTTCCATGTTTAAACATTTGCGGATGAATTTTGCAAGTATAATTACTGACAGTTTGTACTATTTCACGTGCGAAAACTCTTTTAATCTGTAGACACGGTTATAATCACAAAAGTTTAAATCATTGACAAAGCCTTTCTTGAAAACGACAAAACATTGTCTAATTAGACCATTCATTATATATAAATCGCCTTGTTAAATGCAAGTTTTCATTAACAGAATCCAATTCAGCATCCCAATGGTTTAATATTATAAAAATCGGCTACAAGCCTCAAGTAGCAATTAATTGGCAATTTTTCTAAGAGCTATTCATTTGCATGGTATATTAAACAAATACCCAGGCAAAGAGACTGCAGAAAATTTTAGTCCACATCATCTGACCTTAATGTGAAAGCATCGGGTAAAAAGTGGGTTGCAATATTTTAGTAACTTAATCAACAGTTATTTTGCTCATAGTATGCATATCACAAAATATATTTTAGATCTCATTCACCCTTCACCAAATTTTAGGTTGCTAAAGAGAACTTATCAAAATGCCCTGTAAGCCCACACATCAAGCACTGTAAGCATTTTTCAATGTTTCAGTTCGCACAATGTTAGTCACTTTCCAAAAAGCTACGGACGAATCGGTCACTACTACCACTGAAACATAATTGCAAACATGTCTGCCAGTGGCTACTAGAATGCTTATTATCTAACATATGCAGAGCACAGACACATTACAAGGCGGTTTTTGTATAATATCTCTGAATTTGATGCTGATGATTTCTGCTTCATGGCTAATGTAATGTTTCGACACAAACGTACTTGTAATGGTGTCTCATTCACTAACATATTTTAATTTTTATACTGTATTATAATAATAATTTTTTGTTCTATTTCGTTTTCTTATTTATCGACTTTCATTTACGGTATTCAAGGAGCTTATTTGTGAGTCCAATATCATGGTCAAAATAAGATGTAAACTAATTAGCACAGGATTTCAGGATCACACGTTTAAATGACATCTTACTAGAAAAAATATATTTAAAGTCAATAATGCATATTATAACAGTTTTCATGCCTGAATTTAATAAAATTGAACATGTCTAAAAAGGGATCTTTCGATAGGCTGAATTTAAGGTCATGGAACTGTGCCTCTTTAGTTTTCATTGACGTTGTTGCTCGAATGGGCTTGTTTCACTAGTTGTTGTGTTCAATTATTTAGAGTTTTCGACGTTGGAATTTTTTCCAATGCCTAAATCTTCAATAATCTTGATTATTCTTTGTAAGTTGGTCGCTTGCCTTATGGTATTAAATGATATGCCACCTACACTAACCTGTCAAGTTGAATGTTTTAATGTCTTTATAAGTAAACTTTAATCGCTAAATGTAAAAATGTTTTCATCCCTTGATAGTTACAAATTTTAGATAAAACTAGTAGGTAAAGTTTTTGAATGTAAACGTTTGCCCGTTTTTCCGTAAACCTGTTGTGAATTTCTGTGCGTCATCGCGTCTGCCTTCTTAAACCTTGGCAGATTCATGGTAAAAAGTAGGTTTGGATTAATTGTTATTGGTTTCTAACTCTTTGAGTTTTCTGGTGATTAAGTTTTTTCATGAATAAAAGGTTTTAATGTGCACTCCGATCATTCATTTTTTACAGAAATGCATTACTCAATCTTGGTCCTAAACGATATATTTTTCACATTTGTACACCTGTTGATGGATTCCATGATTATATACAACTCTCATTCGGTGTACCCGTTCAATTGTAGTTTGCATACTTTTCATTCAGCCTGTGCTGAACTTGTTTCAAGTACCTTAAACTCTCACTTGTTTTCCTCTCTTTTAATTTAGGAATTGAATCTCAAAATCACTAATGACAGAATCACCAGATCAAACCGATAGTAAGCCATGTCCTAAAATATTCTTATTCATCCTAGATTATCAGTCTCTTCCTAGTACTCTGTCTAGATCGACGGTGGATAAAGAACGTTCCATTTTTATTAATAGAGAAAATGTTACAAAATATTGCAATAATTCCATCAGGTAGTTCATTTTGTTGGACTCGTTTACTTCCTTCTAGCACTGGGAAGTATTCCCTCGTATCATTTATCCCAAAGTTCCTATTCGAGCAGTTCAGGAAGTATGCAAATATTTTCTTTCTCTTAGTTGCCCTCTTCCAGGTTAGTTTCCCACATAAAGTCTCACCTTTTAGCAAATTCCTGGTGTCTCTCCGACTGGCCGATTTACTACAGTTGTTCCGCTAACTTTTATCCTCTGTGTTTCTGCGGTTAAAGAGATTATTGAAGACTATGTATGCCTGTTTTTTTTAACTTACCGCCGTAGGCACGTCATTCTGCCGACAAGGCCACAAATAACTCCCAAACTCACGGTAGGCTTTAGCAATATAATCGAGGTGTATTGTTCTGTAGTATTGAAGAATGGCTGCTGGGAAACGACGTTGTGGAAGGATGTGCAGGTTGGAGATGTGGTCAAGCTTTCTAGCAATTCTGCTATACCTGCTGACGTCGTAATCCTCTCAACAAGCGAACCAATGTCAATGTGCTACATTGAGACCTCGAACTTGGATGGTGAAACAAGCCTAAAGCTTCGCCAGGTCCGGATCTTTAATTGCATTTCTGTTTCACTTGCGTGTCTTGTTTTCACAATTGCTTTTATTTCAGGGCATAACCGCCACTGCGCATCTGCTTACAATTGAGTCTCTTAGAAAGGCAAGGCTGCGCATCGAATGTGAACAACCGACGAGGTCATTGGAGGAGTTTGTCGGAACTCTCTATGATGAACACAACGTGTGCGTCTCTGACATTCGTTTTGAGATTCCAAATATTTCCCCTTTATCTTAAACTGTCGGCCGATCATTTAAATTAGTCGGTTTTTAACTGTTAGAACTACACATCTCTTGAGATTTGGTTACACATCGTCAGCTAAGCTATTTTCCTCATTTAAACGTGGGTTGTCCAATCGCCCTTTCCAAATTTATTATTTGAAATATCGACTTTTAGTCACGCACTAGAAAAGTATAAGCTAATACAATGCGTTATCAATTTGCTAGTCCCAAACTCTGTACCACAAGTGGGTCAAGCAAGTGCTTTAAATTTTCCGATCATCATTTTCTAACTCGGTAGCTGAAGTTTCGGTGGTTATGAACTCAAGTCTCTCAAATTTTAGGGGCTACCCATTGGACAGCAGCCAAATGCTTCTTCGTGGAGCCACATTGAAAAACACAAATTGGGTTTTCGGTATGTTTGTAGATTAGTGCATTCTCTGATTGCTCCTTTTCCATGGCGCCGTGTCATTATTGGTTATATCGTGCATTGCGATTTGCAATAACACTGTTCATTAGCCCTGTGCCCGAGTCGGTAATTAACTTGTCTGTTATTTTGCCTCTAGGGGCCGTGGTCTACACTGGAAAGGAGTCCAAAGTTATGCTCAATTCAACAGCAGCTCCTTTGAAAAGGTCCTCCGTTGATAAACAGACCAACTATTACGTACGTGGACGTCCAGTTAACACATTTACTAGTTAAGTGGACATGTCACCCGCTACAGTCCGTCGCACCCGCCTCCCATGCTGCCGAGTTTCATTTTTAATGTCGTTGTGCGACTCAAACGCAAAAATTTGGATCTAATGACACACACAAACACAGGCAGTTGTCTTATTCCACACGCGCGCACACACACGCACACACAAGGAGCAGAGTTAAACCGAGGCCATAGTCTGCTCCGCGCACCGCCTACAACCATCAGTGTACATAATTGTCAACTGTTCGTGCTTGATTCTTGACAATCGATTAATGCCTTCGTCGGGAGTCGAACCCTGGGCATGGGCTGATTATCTTGGTGTTTCAGACTACAGCCTTGGGCTTTCGGTGTTAAAGGGGGGTGACTGCTGTGGGCTAATGTGTACCTGACTGGATAGATTTCGAGGGTATGTCTAGGCGTCAGGTTTGCTTGAACCTCTGCGAACTAAGTTTCACACGTGCCCTGCTCTCGTCAAGCTGTCAAATTCCCACAGTTGCGTGAATTTAAATTTGATTTGACCTCCGTAGTTGTCTCTCTCACTCTGCGCTTTTTGGCTCACCTACACGCGTCGCTCCAAGTTCATCGCCTTTATCTAACCTGTTGTGAAGTGAACATGCACTTTTCGCACCTGACCTCTTCATCGCTCACCAAATTTTGATCCACACCTCTGTAATTTCGCTCAAAAAGATTGGGTCATTTGCCCAGTCGTGTTGGATTGTGCACAATCTCGCCAAGTTTGGTTGTTTTTTTTTTCAGCCACAGACCTTCTTATACCGAATGAACCTTGATCCAATTTAGCCATAAAATGCAGCTGTTTGGATTTGTGTATTCGAGATCATGGTGACTGAACAATGTTCATCGGAGTTGGTAGTTGTATGCGTTCCGGAATCGTGAGCGAGTTGTCGAGTAGGCCTTCAGGACCTTTTGACGGTAGCCCAACTGGGAGACAGGTGTCTGATTAGTTTCAGCAGTCCAAACTCAAATACTGGCTTTCCCTTTTATTACTCTGAACGCTCAGAAGTCAACTTCGAAAGGAACACATTGAGTTACTGACCAGGCGTTCTTTCAGCTGTCTACTTGCAATTTTTACCACCTCAGGCCATTCGGTTTTTTGTCTAGATTTTGGTGCTGTTTGGTCTGCTGATCTTTCTAACGATTTTCATGGCCATCGCTAATTTCATTTGGACAAAAGTCTGCGGTGAACAAATGTGGTACCTTGCAGGAGCTGGTGAGTTCTCCCTCCTGTTAACCTGTGGTTTTTCTTTGCTCTTAGCTCATTTTTACAAACCTAGTTTACACTGGCCTGGATAGCTTTCGGTTACTATCAACCATTTGTCGCATGCATGAGTTATTTCGGTTACAGTTGAGGATAAAATGTGCTAACACTTTCTGTTTAACTGTCTTCAAACTAAACACTTTCAGTCATGTGACACTTTGACACATGAGTTACACCTAGACTGTTTGATGTGCTTAAACACTTGTCAAAGCCTCCTGGCGTATTTGCGAGTCGCGTGACCCCAATAACCTTTAACTTTTAGAACTGTCTGTCAAAAGCGCAGGCTTTATGTGCATCACCGCTTTCATCATCTTCCATACCATCATTCCAATTAGCCTCCAAGTCACCCTTGAGGTGGTCCGTTTCGTCCAGGCTCTCTTCATTAATTGGGTCAGTACTTGTTACTTGGTGTCGATGGGCTTGCTTCCCCATTGTCCACTCCCCATGCCTAATTCCTCATATTCAATAATCGCGTATTTGCGCGAGCATTCGGCGGTAGACAGTGGGTTCGCCATTCGTCGAAGTTTAAGCGACTGGCGTCACGTTGTCGTTTTAGGATTTGGACATGTACGACGCGAAAACGGACACACCGGCCATGGCGCGGACGTCCAATCTCAACGAAGACTTGGGCCAAGTAACCTTGCTTGCCTGCATCTTTGCGTCTATCTTTCTAAGCTCTTGGCTAAAATTTTCCTCCCTGTTTCCTAGGTTAAGCACATTTTCTCCGACAAGACTGGCACTCTGACTCAAAATGTGATGGAATTTAAAATGTGCTCAATCGGCCGGAAGGCGTATGGGTACGTGGGGTTTCCTGTTATTTCAATCCCTCATTTACAGTTTGGTTGGTTTGTTGGTCCTGCGGTCAGAGTGATGCGATGTTGACAATTGATCCACAATATTTACATTTTCCCATGCTTTGTTTGGAAGAGTAGATTGGCCTTAATTTAATCACTAATTGACGTCTTTTTCCAAGGAACAAAGTACACTCGAAATGTGTTTCTAATAGTTGGCGTACAAATCCAGTAGATCATTTTTGGTCTCGAATCGCCTTTTCTTAGTGCACTGTCGGTTCGCGCCAAAAAAGTGCTATTTAACCGAATTAATGTTGCACTAACGTCCCACTTGGTCAGTGACCTCGTTGCAGTCTTGGTGTGTGTGTGTGTGTGTGCATTCGCGAGTGGACGGAACCCTTTACAAACCAACCACCTAGCTCTTCCAAGTCTCCAATCGGTGGATGTGTGTTGCAATGTCTTGTTGTGGTGAATATTCATAGCAGTCGCGGGGAAAGCGCTGCCTCCATGCGCCAATAATGACTGCGGTCTTTATCCTAACCCCCCCCCTTCCAGACTCAACGAACCCGACTCGTCTGCCCTCCACGACTGGAAGCTCCTCAGCAAGGTGGCGGATGGCGATCGTGATGTTGACTGGTTCTTCACCATCCTCGCAGTCTGCCACACCGTCATCCCAGAGTACGTCAACGTGGACATCGACAAGAACGATATTCGCTATCAGGCCACCTCACCAGGTCGGCATTACGCTCATCTTTCTTATTACCCTCAGACCCATTCAAAAGTCTCCTTCCTAGTCAACACCACACTTCCGCAACCAGCGAATGTACCGCCTTGTCGGGTCTTTGAAATGCTGATAGTTTCAACTGTTTTTCAGCTTCAGAAGACGGTGCTAGGTCTTGAACGCATTTTATATCTCCACTTTGTTCACCGTGGGTTATTTTTAGTGGCTGGGTTTAACCTGTCACCATTCAAGTGCAGTTTACCGCATTTTCGCTTTAGCAGCTACTGCCAGTGTTGACGAAGTTTAAGAAATAAGCTCGTTTAAGTGTGCCTGGAAATTTATCATGACCCTAGCCTCCAAAATGTTTGTACCTCCTAGTGGTTAACCGGCGCGTGCATTATCTCTCTTGTACTGTGCGTGTACTTTATCGTTGACTCGTTTTCCAAACACTGCCCTAATGTGTGCGCTTCACTGTCATTTCACGGCGTGGTGTTGGAGTGTGGTTTTTTTGTGTGTAATACCCCGTGCCGTCGAAGGCTCCATTACAAAGCGCGGATCACCGCTTGCGCACTTTACTGGGCGCCAAAGCCCTCAAATGCTGTCTTACGCGCAAGGGCAGTGGACCCAGGTAGCACTTGGACCATGCTGCCATCTTCGATATTCGGTCTAAGCTCATTTTCTTCACTGCTTTGGTGCTCACGTGGAAATTTCTCTGTGCAAAGTCGCCAGTGTGGCTTTTGTGCACATGATCACGCCACTAGCGCATTAAGTTAACTCAGTATTTTGACACTTAGGCAGTTAGCGCGTGTGTGTGTGTGTGTAAAACTATACTCGTGCAACCTTGATGACTTCACGTAATTGGCCACGCCAACTACACTTATCTCCTCCCGTTTCAGACGAATGTGCTCTCGTCTCAGCGGCCAAGGCGGTGGGCTACGTCTTTTGCGAACGACAGCCTGAATACGTGAAAATTCGCGTGGTGAGTGGGTAGCGTCGCCGTGGTAGCTTCCTTCCTTAGCATTGCCCTTTCATTATTTTTGGGCAGTTTTTCCCAATCGACTTTTCCCCTGTAGAAAGACGAGGAGATCCAGTTTAAGTTGTTGCACGTCATTGAGTTCACCAGCCTGCGGAAGCGTATGAGTGTCATCGTTGAAGACGCCAAGGGCAAACTCTTTCTCCTCGTGAAGGGGGCAGTAAGTCAGCGTCTGCGTTTCTAACATCCTCTTGCTTGGGTACCCACTTGAGGTACATCGAAATTTTACTCCCCCCCTCTCTCTCTCTCGCTTATGCGTGATGTGGAATTCCTTACGAAAATCCGCACGCTTGGAGGCTCAGTCGCTGTCTTGGGTTTATTTTTTGCCGTGACGCCGAAGCCTTTGGTACTAGCCTGAATTCCAGTAGGTATTGGCACACCACAAGCGTTCTGCTGTTAAAATTAACATACTTGTTCACTCTAAACCCCACAAACCTTCCAGTTTCCGCTCTGATGAGTTGATATTACTGCTAAACTTAGTACCAATCATTAGTCTTTACCAAAGCAGCTGATTCATTGTGAACCTGTTGACAGCGTATGTGACCTTCCCTGCATCAACACCGAACGGTCATGTCACTTGAAGCCTCTTCGTCCTCCGACTGGCGAGAAATCCACGTTGAGCTTTTTAAATTGCTTCATGTATTAAAAAAGCACCTTCTCTTGCCCGTATCATTAACCTCTAGCAGCTGCTATCGTGTCCGCGAATCTAGAATTCACATCAGTGAGTCATAGCAGGGTTAGCAATAAACTCCAGACGTGTTGGTTTGTGTGTGATGGATTTCGTTTGACTAGCGGATTTACCGGGCTTCGGAAGGGTCTCACAAACCATTCTTGTGTGTCTGGTAAGGCTTTGGCTAATGCCCCCTGTTTCAAAAGCGCCACCCTCATCTCTGGCTTCGCTTGTCTAATTAACACAATCGTTTTTTTTTTTTCAAGAGCGCAGCTGGCGCCGTCTTCATTTTTAACTCGCGCGCTTTTGGTCCGCTTTCCTTTCAACCATCTACCCTGTAAGCCAGACCCCTAACACCCTAGCACAGGTTAGCTTTCTTTGAGCATTCTGATCCAGAAAACCTTCGAACAACCGTCTCAAAGTGTGCTTTTAAGAGAAAGAGGGGACGCGGTGTGGAACCATTCTGACGATTGTGGAAGTCCGTGTTGACTTGCGCGGGGCGCTCATCTGCACACGCCTATTGGACTATGAACCCGCGAGCCGTAGCAACGGTTTCATGTTGTGCCAAAGGCCTTCAGCAGAGAAGCTCCTGACCAGTTTTACACGGACTTCTCCAATCGTTAGAACGCCTCCACGCCACCTCCTCCTCCTTCTCTTCATTTTCAGTTTTAGTGTTAATCTGACGCGGATGGTATTATTGTCAGCAAACCGGGGGCGCACCGTGTCTGCGTGGCTCGTTGTAGGTTGTATCCATGCCTTTTATGGTTTCTCTGTATCGCCAATTCCTAAGCCCTAACTAATTTGCTTCCTCCTACGACACCCACAACACCTCAAATTGTTTTCCGCCTTGCTAAAGGATACCGTCATCTACGAACGCCTGTCGCCTGACTCACGGTTCACAAAGGAGACTCTTTCGCACATGGACGAGTTCGCGAGGATAGGTACGCTGAGTGCTTTGTGTGTGTAAGAAAGTTTGCCTCAACTTGAGGTTCGCGCGCCGTCACACCGTGTTTTTTTGCCTTCCTGTTGCCAACCAGGTCTGCGAACGCTGTGTATAGCCTTTCGTCGACTCGACCGCAGCTTCTACGAGCAATGGGCAGCCAAGTACTACAAGGCTAGCATTGCCATCACCGATAGAAGCGAGTTGCTGGACGAAACCTATGAAATGATTGAACAGGTGAGTCGTGCGCGCCCAACACGACGACGCTTGCCCCAGCTCTGTCACCTCAACAAGCCACCACCCCTCCCCTCCCCTACCCATTTTGTGTTAAAGGACCTCGATTTGGTTGGAGCCACAGCCATTGAGGACAAACTGCAGGACGAGGTGCCCCAAACCATCGCAAACATGCTCGCAGCCGGCATCTCCGTGTGGGTGCTCACTGGTGACAAACAGGAGACTGCCATCAACATCGGTTTGTTTAACTTCTCACCTGAACTCCACATATTAACAGGCTACCTTCTCTGCAGTTTACAGGCCACGCAAAATTAAAACGATGCGGTCATAAATTCACTTTATGCTTTCGACTCAGTCTCAAGGTACGTAGGTTTAAGATCACTGGACTGTAATCCGATAGGGCTGTTTTGTCACTACTAGCCTAGAGTCAAGCATCCGTGTGTAAACGCAGCCGTTTCATGAATGTGTGGACGTGACAGGCGTGATGCATTGACAAGGCAAGGTGCAACAGTCAAAAGGCTTTTTAAAAGGCAGGTTTTCAGTGGTTGCATTGTTTATTTCCCTGTGCGTAGATATGTTAATTAGCTTGACAGTGGTTCTCATCACATAATGCCCAAAATCTCAACCAAATTGTCCCCTTTTTGGGTCCTACAACCAATGCCTTGTGCGGGGTGTCCATATCAATTAACAAAGCTGCTGAAGTGATGTACAGGCACGAAAATGTTTTAACTTACTACTCAGCTGCTCTCGATCGTGTCAATCATTGGTTCCTCCTTCGTGAATTCGCCATCCAATCAGTTAATCGTTCTCGTAGCCACTTTTTGTGTGCTACCATTCTCTGCTCTCTCTCATTGGTCGCTGTATCTGTATTGCTATGACAACGCAAATCATTAGCCTCTCCTGATTGGTCGAATGGGTGGACATGCTTACGCGTCATTTTGGCACGTGCTATCACTTAATCCAAATGCAGCCTGTTTGTCTGTTAGAGGTCAAGGCGGTGTTTTTGTTGGCCCCATTGAAAAAGTGTTTAGCTTAAATGCCATAGCCAGCAACAAGATCTTCATAGTTTTTTTTTGTTTGCGTACTTTTATCTTTGGTTGGCTTGGTCGAGCGATGACCAATGATTTGGATACCATATTCACAACCGTGACATTATTTAACCATCTACGGAAATGCACCACGAGATTTATAGCCATGTTTAAGTTCGCGCCGTAATGGTCTGTTTTCGTGTACTTCTAAATTGCGTTTTTATTGGGTCAAATTATAACCAATCGCTTTTCCCCCAGGTCTTTCGTGTCGCCTAATTAACCCCGAGCAAACTCAGCTGATTATAAATGGCACAAACCTGGACGTCATCCGGGATCAGCTGTTTGAATGCAGCTCTCAGCTGAAGAATGAGATTGCCGTGGGACGCGAGGTCGCTTTAATTGTCACTGGAAAGGTGGGTTTCACCTTGCACCCACCAGATCAAACTTAACTCCAAGACACGTTGCATACTTTTGGCGTGCATAACTATCTTCTAGCGTTTCTCCCAGCCTAGTTGGCATAGCAAGACGTCAAAATTTTGTGTACTGTTGCTGTTTTTCATGTTTTTATCGCGAGCTACCTTACTTAGTCCACTGCGAACCCAAGAAGGGACGGTTTGAGCAGGTCATACGGGCTACTTCACAAAAAAAGTTGAACAAATTGCGCTTCTGGGGCCATCATTTCGCCTGGTCCTACAGCAACTGTCAACGTTCACCGATGTGCTAGGTTCGCACGCACTAAACCTATACCACTTCGTTGTGCAGGCTTGACCAAGGCCAACGCAATATTAATAATCACCGACTCTAGTCTCTGTGGTGTACTCTTGTTGGTTTTATGATCACTGGATGCACTTTTAGCCTTATTAGCGATTAATGCTTTCGCTTATATCTTCAACCTTCATTATCAACGTAACCGTCCGCTTTGTAGGCCCTCGAGTCGCTGCTAACCGTGCAATGCCAAAAGGAATTCTTCGAAATCGCCCACAAAAGCTCCTCGGTCATTTGTTGCCGGTATTTGGAGTGTTTTCCTTGACGTCTAGTGCTCTATTTATCTACTTATTTAAACAGATGTCAATTTCAGTAGCTTTACAAGTTCATCCCATCTCAGTTCCCCAACTCAACACTGCTAAATTTAAATAAAGAACCTGGTGGGTTATGCGCAAGCACACTTGTTGCGAAGCCTGGTGGTTTGTGTTTAGGTTATTTCATTAGACCAAACCTCTGATCGGCGTTTTCCCGTCTTTTTTTTGCAATCCGAAAACACAAGGCCCCCCTGGTTAAACATGCCTACCTTGTGCTTTTAGCGTGAGTCCGTGGCAAAAGGCCGAGGTTGTTCGTTTGGCCAAGGCCTTCACAAAACACATCACCCTTGCTATCGGCGACGGCGCAAACGACGTCGGCATGATTCAGGTGTGATTCCGTTTACCCTGCCATACCTTTGCTAATTTTTGCCATTGTTTTTGCGTCTGCCGAGTGTCACGGGCCTAGAAACCCCGCTAATTCGATGTTTTGTGCATTACTCAAACATGCCAATACGGTTTTCTCAACTTTGTTCTTGCATTCCTGGGCTCACCTGTCACATATATCCTCTTGACAACGTCGTCTGATTATTATTTTCCTATTTGGCGACAACACCTTGTCAATCTTAACATACACGTTGCTAAGTTATGGTTATCTGTAGGGCAACACGCATGTTTCATTTGTGTTCAGAGCTGTTTTGCTGTTCTCAAGTAATAGATATCGGTAAGTCAACCATAACACAGGAATCAACACATAGTAAACAAGTATTGTAGTGAGTCCTGCTATTCTTCCCGAGGCATTGTTGTTTTCGTCAAGCTAAAATTAAGCCTCATGCATCAGTAAAACCGTCACTCGAGGTGGTGGTTTGACGAAGCTTCGAATTTCAGGCTGCAGACATCGGCGTTGGGATTTTCGGTGTTGAGGGCAGACAGGCCGCGTGCTCCTCCGACTACGCCATAGCCCAGTTCCGTTTTCTGAACAAACTCCTGCTGGTGCACGGGGCTTGGAGTTTCAATCGGATCACCAAGGTGATCCTCTACTCCTTCTACAAAAACATCTGCCTCTACGTCATCCAGTTTTGGTTCGGCATAGTCAGCGGCTTCTCCGGCCAAATCATCTTCGACCGATGGACTATGGCGCTGTATAATGTGGTATGTTTCTCTCTCTCTGTGTTCGTCGTATTTTGACCTTTCCAGAGTATTTAATATACAATAGTAAATGTTAAGTGCATGACTTGATTTCCACAGATTTATTCTTTGAGCCTAGAAGTATGTTCGTGGTTTTTTGTGGCTTTGAAAGGATCAGACACAAGGTCTCACAGCACTGAACGACGCGTCTACGTGGGTTACTTAACCTCTCACAATAGCAGAGTTGACGACGATGGCAACTGGTAAACAGCACATTCGATGGCACTGCATTTTATACGAATTCCAGCAAGGAAAAGTGCTTATAAAGCACTGGGGAAATCAATTTGTAGTGTTTTTGCCGACGTAGCGTCTTTTGAAACGTTTAGTTATTGGCACAGACACTTTGGATGTGGGTATTTCGATCTTAGCGACCAGCTGCGCCCCGAACAACAGCTTCGAAGATGCGGAACTGCAAGCTTTACTGGATGCAGACTCAGCACAAACGCAACAAGAGCTTGCAGTAGCTCAGTTAGGAGTCACCCACACGGCTATGTTCACACCAAATGCGAAAAATTCAAAACGCGGAAGTTGGACCCCTTCACAATGTGTTGACCGAACACAACCTCGGTCAACGTTTGAACGCATACCTTTGACCGCTTGCCCGCCAGCAACAAAATAGGACTTCTTGTGGAATGATGTGACGTGTAATTATAGGTACATTCCTTTCGAGAATCCCAAACGTAAAAAGTCGTGCCGAAATAGGACATCCACTTGAAGAAGAAGAAGAAGAGGAGGAGACTCTTGAACTTGCGATGGGTAGTTCTCCCACACACAGCATATTCAACCGACTTCGCCCGCCTTCCGACTACCATTTGTTGTGGCCAATGCAGCAGCAGCACGCCTTAGTGGACGAAGAGTTCAAGAAGGCTGGACAACGTGCGTAACTTTGTCAATGATGACTTTATTGTCTCGAATCTTGCGAGTTTGTTTCGCGACGGCATTCGAGAGGTGGCGTAAGGTCGTAGAAAACAGTGGACACTATTTTCGAGATTAAGTTCATTGTTCTCTTTCTGTACTGTAAATAAATTGGCTAAAAAATCTGTAAAAACTATGTCCCAGAATTGTTAGTGCACCAGCTAGATTTCCGTTATTCTCTCTCTCTCTGTTCACTAGGCCTTCAGTGCCGCACCGCCGTTCGCCCTGGGACTCTTTGAACGCAACATGAGTTCCAGGAATTGCCTCAGACTGCCCGTCTTGTACAAGGAGACCCAGAGGTCAAGCACGTTTGACAAAGTGGTACGCCTTATTCCACACACAAATCCCTTGTTTTTTTGCAACTCACGAACCCGTGGCTCTCTTGCTTCGTGCTTGAGTTACCCCAGATCCGCCAGCGCAAATTGGTTTAGCGTTTTCGATGCTCCACACCAACCCAGGGGTAATTTTTTACTTAATTGCAGGCAAGCAATCTTATGCCTCCCTAGGGGGGCAGTGACGTGGCTTGCAAATCATTCCATGACTTCCTAGTCGATAAAATGACAAGTCGTTTTGTCATTGGTTGCACCCTACTAACGACAAGTTCAGAATACGATGGGCTTCTCCTTAAGCACCCTACACCGACCGAGAACCCACCATAATGTCTTGGATGTGTGTTAAAATCAGGGGGTACAACAATGTGCAAATTTGAAGTCCTAATCGATAATTTGGTTAGCGGGAAGCGTCTTTTCCTGGGGTGAACATGGAACTTCTCAAGCGGGATGCACTACAGCGCAGTATTCTTGGTTTGGCATTGTGGCCGAGCGTCAATGTCGGTCGAGTTGTGCTAACCAGGCTTGTTGTGTTTGTTTGTTCTTTACTGCAGACTTTCCTGATGTGGATTCTCAACGGGATCTTTCACTCGATTATTCTCTTCTGGATTCCACTCCTCGCCTTTCAATCTGGTTGGTCTTTTCCCCTTTTTTTCACGTTTTCGGCGTGGAACTGCAAAATTTCTCTCCTCTCTCTCCTTTTGGCGGCAATTTTCCCTGAAAGCGCAATCCACTAGAGTGTAAAAAAACCTGCTCCCACTATTCTTACTCAAACTGATAAGACCTTATTTCGCAACTGTAAGATCACGGGGTTACGCGTATTGACAACGATTTTAAGACGAGTTGGATTTCGTCAGATTGTGGGAGTTGAGAGGTAACCGCATTTACAACACGCGCCAACCTATTGGTTAAACGCCCTCGGCTACTCATTGCCCTCCATCGTCATTGCATAAGCAGTGGGTGTTGTGTTCCAAAACATCCCGTCAGGCCCACACTTAAGGCTAGTGATGACTAGGCAAATCTGAGCTGTGCTGTGTTGTTTTTGATTAAATGTATGTAGCGACAAAGAGGCCCATAAAAAAACCGGGTTTGTGTGGTCGAAATCTGGGCGCGCTTGCTCGCTCGGTCGCTCAAATGTTTTTTCTCCGACTCATCACGGTTTCTCGAATGCCAAGGAGACTCCTTATTGGGTGGTCGTGGTCTCTGTTCTACCGCGTAACTATGGTAACAATCACAAGCACATTGAATATTCTCTTTGGTGCTCACTGCGGCGTCAGTGTAGAATACCACTAAGGCAACTCCGCACGCAACTCTTTGTGATTTTTATGCGTAGCGTTCGTTTTGGCCGAGGTAATTCTACTTTCCTTGTCTCACGCTCCCTCAATTTTTTGTGTGCTTTTTTTGCAAACTTGGTGGTTAAACTGCCGAATGCATCAATTTTTTGCCACCTGTAGATATCGTCTACTCAAGCGGGAAAACTGCCAACATCCTTGTCGTTGGCAACACCATCTACACCGTAAGTACTCCCCTTGTGAAGAAATCCATTCAACTGTCTACCTCGGTAAACGTAGTAGGAATTTGCGTTTCTTGCCTATGTGACACCATTTAGGCTTCAATCGTTTATACAGCGTCTCGGAATTTCTGCTGGTGGATGTAAAGTGTTCGCCTTGACATTTGGCTGCGTTTGTGTACTGGACTGAAGTTGGCATTGCGATGCGAGAATTGCAATTAATGCGCATTTGGCAACACCACACTGGGCCGGTGACAAAATAGAAATGGCGTAAATGTATTTTTATTCAACTCGACCCATTATATGTGAGTTTTTAAACTTATTGTGGGCCCCAGCATGCGGTCTTGGACCACGCCGAGGTCACGGAATTAATCCTGGCCCGATTGCGTTTCCCTGATACCCGCGTTGAAGAAAAATGACCGCAGAGGACGTGGACACAACCGTTTACTTCAGAGCTCAACCACGTTGGTGTCTTGCGGGGTTTGCGCGTGCGTATTTATACCTCGGATGTGTGAGTCATACATGCGTTGACATCAAGATAAATAGTGTGAATGAGGGGGGTTGAGGATCCACGCGGCTGACGACATGCTGCGACAAGGGGAACCCTGTGTAGGAGGTGGATCGACCGGATTAAGGGTTGTGAGTAAGCACGATTTACTACAAACTTGATGTAGTGTGTGTTAGCGTTGCCAACACCAACGCCGATAAGCCATCGCGAGTGACTGCCTTTCTCATCTTTGCCTTCCAGTGTGTCGTGATCACAGTGTGTTTGAAGGCGGGCCTCGAGCACACCGCGTGGACAATCTTTTCACACCTAGCCATCTGGGGGACAATCGGTCTCTGGTTTGCCTTCCTCACCGCCTACTCCCACGTCTACCCCACTATCCCTGTTGGCCCAGACATGGTCGGAATGGTGTGTCCTTTGTTCTTTTTTTCTCACACCTCACCAGATGGTCAACAAGTCGCACAGGGTTTCCTGCGCCTCCTAGCGACTGCAAAATCTTGAAGAGTAGCCTTAATCCTCTTGTGTACTGATTGAGCAAACTGGTGAAAAACAGGTTGAAGCTGGTAGCCGTAGCAAGTGCCTGCAATTGCTTCTACACCAATCAGCGAAATCACCTCCGGAGGGAATCAGACAGTCCCGTGTCTTGAATTTCGTTCACCTACCTTAAACGCACCCGACAAGGTCATGCGGTTTCGACAGAATCTGCCAACCTTTGTATTCGTTTTAGGACACCGCTTGCTTCAGCAGCCCCGTCTTCTGGCTGTTGCTTATCCTGGTACCGGTGGTCGCTCTTACGCGAGACTTCGTCTGGAAGATGTGAGTTCCGCTCTCTTTTTAGTCGTGTCTTCCCTGGCTCGATGAATTTCGACAACGAACGCGCTCTCAAGATTCTGTCGGTCAATCCACCAGTTACACCTTGGCCTTGCTTTTATCGCTCTAACCTAAGGACACCTGTCTCCTCGTGCGCGAGCACATTTCTCATTCTTGCATGTACTTTCTCTGTCGCCTCGTTAGGACGGAAAAGGCTATGTCCCACGTGGCATCATCTTCCCCCTTCCCCTCTATTGTGCTCTATTCCCACTCTCCACGTGGGAACAAACTCACAACTCTCATAGCACTTGCGTCGGCCCCCCTCTTTAACTTCTAGTCCAATCTATGAAATTTCCGCCTCAACACTACTCGTCATCCCTCCTCTAGACACCTAGTAGTCCTTTTATCGAAACTCGACACCGTCTAGTTTTTTTTTCTATTGTGCTAAACCACGCGTTAGCATTATACTCCTCGTTCCGTTTTGTGCGCAGCTACACTTTCAAGGTATCAGTAATCGTCGCAGCGTGTTTGCGTTTCGTTTACTGTTTCCGCGCGACTTCCACTTCTGTGTTCGATGTTTCCGCGTTGTGTCCCCAACTTTAAAACACCAAACACGCGACGTCTTTCGTTGCGGTTCGTGGGAGAAAAGTTCTGCGGTGATGCGGATCACCCTTGTTCTGTTCCTGCGTGTGTCGTTTCTGTTTTAGTCTCCCCGTAACCGCACTGAGCGTCTTTTGTGTGTGTCCGTGTGTCTCTAGGGTGAACCGCACGACTTCTGGCCTGACAGCTCTGACAGAGTCCGCGCTAAGGACACTCTACGCACCGTGGCCTCCCTCGAAAGCCTCTCACTATATGAATAATGCTTATTCTCGTCCTTCTCCTTATTAATATAAAACACTCCGACCGACAGTTGCTTGTCTTGGTTTAAAATTTTACCGTTTTCTTTTGGTTTTTTTGCATGAATCAGTCTTGCAGCCCTCACTTAATACCGTGTTCTCTCTCCTGCAGAATAAGACGGACCTACTCGTTGACGATGCGAGAGCAGGTCATGCTCTGTGAGCAGATTGGCGTCGAACCGGAGCCCTTCTTGCAAATGTTCCAGCCTCGCAGGTAAGCCTGGTCGCCAAATCTCGACCTTAGCCATCTAGTCGGAATCCAGAGGTTCCTAAGTGTGACACGAAGTTTTTGCAAACAGTGTGCGGACCGAGGTGGTACCGAGCCATCTTTGATTGATCTCAGTTACCTTCAAGCACCTATGCTCAATAGTAATTGATTGTAGCCGATTTTAAAGAGATGTTGCCTAGTTCGATTAAAACGACCTCAAAGCGAGTGGAAGTGCTCACAGATAACATATCTGCGTACCTAATTGGTGCCAAAACGCACCACTACGAAACACATGTTTTTGGTAGGCACATATGAAACTGTCCCAGGTGTGATTTGGTGCTAGGGTCATCTTTCATTTGGACTATATTCCTCTGTAATTAAACTCCCTCATTTGTAGCTATGACAACGGATTTCAAGAGTAAGAACACTTTCCCCGTAATGCCAATTTTTCCCACTCAGCACCTTACAGTAGCACGCATTATCTGTGCGAAACGCCGCGCCATTCGTGTTTTCATTGTTGTCGTCTTTTTTTGGTTTGAAATCAATTATTGATCTGAGTCGGTATTCGCCCGTCTACCTTTGTGTTCCATCCGTAGTCTGTGTTGCGTTTTGTGAAGACATTGCAAAAAATCTTGCTGCATGGAAGCAAGGGGTAACTCGTGATTGGCCGCTGCTTCTATCTCCTTGGTGGAGTCGATGATAATGCCACATTTTTAAAGTTGTTATAATCGGTGCAGATGATGCAGACGTAATTGTTCTCCAGAGGTCAGGTCAAGGTTATGTTCAGCGTCGAAAAATAACTGCAGTTAATTAATCAATAATCTAGTGATATAACAATCTATTGGAGTAGACTATGTCAGGTATCAACTGAACTATGATTGGTCAGTTGAAAGGTCGTGTAAACGCGTGTGGTTGTGCGAGTTTTTTGACAAAATTTTTCAAAGCACACGAGGCTTCGTCATCAGCGACAAATTCATGCTGCAAAATCTGGTCATTTTGAATACTAATTTAGCTTCTGAACGCGATCAATGCATGATACTGGCCTGCACCTTCTTTTTTTTTCATTTTGCGCCACCAAAATCACCCACCCGAAGTACACGCAAAGAAACACTCTAGCGACGTTTCGTGTCACCATTATTGTCACACCGAAACACAGCCGTGTTCTGTTGTCTGGAGACATCGATTGACGCTCTCGCCTCATTCCGCCAGATTCCTACTCATTTGATTAAAAGTAGTAATCAGGATAAACAAAATTGCCTTGCGTAAATGTGTGGAGCTCTAGTGTAGCTGTGTAACGACGGTTCGTGTTAGTTATGTGTACAATAGCCCATTTGCATCGCAGCTGTAGACTTGCATGCGATAGCAGCCTCATCAGGACGGTCTTATATGAACAATGAGGTGAAGTCAACTTGAGAGTAGATGGGTTTGACGAATTGCACACTAAATCGACCGTGAAGTTGTTGAAGTCGCCTCTGCCAGAGTTCTTCTAGACGTTCTGGAAGCAGGTTACAACTTTTTGCATGTGATGTCCGTCTGTTTTCGCAGTTGTCTTCACCTTTATTGTAACCCGTGTTTAAGATAACCGTTTTCTGTTTTTTTATAACTTGGCATTAATTTCCCAGGGTTCGAGGCCTCCGATTGTTCCGACGCCAAAACTTCGTCTCCCCGGCGTCGAATGCCAGTCTTCTTAGTCACCGAGGGGATCGTAAGTCTCTTCCATAGCCCCTTTTGTTCGACGCTGCGAAGTCGCGTAGTGCACGGACGAAGTTGTTGCTGGTAACGTTGAGCTGTCAGCGAGTTTCTTGTCAAGACGAGGTTTGGAACTGGCACAAAAGTCGATGTCAAAAGACCGTGTGAGTGCCATCATTGTCAGCTTCTCTCGTCTCAGCAACAGGTAACTCTAGCGTCGCACCAGCTTACAACCCCGCTGAATTACCGCAAGTATCGCGCGACTGGTGGTGGTACTTGCTTCGTCGGCATTTTCACCAAGTACTTTCACTAGCAATGGAAACTTCCGGCATGCCAGTTGTAGGATGGAAAGAGAAAATGATCCGCGTCAAAGGAAGCAGGCTGTAGCCGCTTGATAGGTGTGGTTGAAACCATTACAATTTGACGTCTAAGCACAAACTTGACACACTGAACCCGCAAAGAATAAAACACGATTCGGCGGAACGTTCGAAAACGCAAACTCTTCATCCGTTGTAGGCAAATTCAAGTAGTATTCACCGCGAGCACCGCTCGTACACAGCCGACAAATTGTACGCGGTGCTCAGTACGAATCGGAATTAAAAGAGCGGATAAATCACGGCGAAGATGGCAAATATTACTGTATCGGATGTCACAAACCCTCTGGGTTGTTGAGTGGTGCATTGGAAAATCACGGAGACCTCCAGGAGAGGCGAACGACACACTGAGGTGGGGTGGAGACCGTGTGTTCAAGATCCGTGGGGTGACTGACAGCGTACTTGGGAGGTGTGTGTGCGATTGGACCCTGTCGATCTGAACTGACGCGCAACGCACTTCTCCCTATATTGTGAGTGCGCGAATCAGTGGTTAAGATGTGTTAACCACGTGATCACAAGCGGAAGTCGCATCCAAGACATTGTTTTAACCACAGTCAATGTGTTTAGTGGAGATCCGCTCGAATGTGGAATGCAGCAAACCGTGCTTACATACACCAGTCATTAACGTGATGCTTGTTCTCTCTCTCGCTAGACGGGTACGCCTTCAGTCAGGTGGAGCATGGCCGATTCACCCAGACGGACATCGTGCGGGCCTACCACTCGACCGAGGCAAAGCCGATGGGAAACTAGGCCGGCTCAAGCTGTTGTTGGCGTTGATTCCGACGGGTGCCGCATTTCACCGCAGGTCTGTACTCCGGAGTGAGGCGTTTCGATGCAATTTCGCACTTCCAGATTGAAATCGAGGCAGCAAGAGGGAGGGGGATCTGCGACTCCATTGTTGTACATTTGCGGCGGCTTTTCGCGACGAATCAATGGCAATTACAGCTTGGGAACTGTCTCAGACTCCAGAAGACCTTACATTTTCATATCACATTTGACAAATAAAACATCGAACACCTTTGAACTCAGTTTGATGCGGTGTTTGTTTATCTAGGTTCGTGGTGTAGAGCAGGTCTCCCAAGTACTCGGAGTTTTGCGTAGACAGAGAATGAGGTCATGGACATAGAGACTCCCCCCTGAATCAAACGGGCTATTTCTTTGAAACTGGAACTGGTAAAATTGAGGGTGTGACGTAGGCCAAAGGATGCGAAAGTTGTTCAAAGTATGTTGGACCTTTCTTGTCGCCGTGCCCATCAGTAAGGCTTGAAACAGCGCGTCTCCAACGGGGTGT